TGAAATTAAATTTAATTAGGTCTATAACATGAATATGAAAATTATAATAAAATTTCCATATAACAATATAAAAAAAGCAATGAGAAAGGAGAATTAAAACGGCGGAATATAACTTAAACTCAGTCGTGAAAGTTGTGTCAAGTTCAGGTAACTGTTTGAAGTCTCAGTTCAGCAATTGTACAAAATATCTGCCATTTTCCAGTACATATAACCTCAGCCTTTTTCTGAACAAATGTTTATCATTATATTTTTTTCTTTTTCAGATTCATTGTTATTCCCCTATTTCAACTTTTCAAATTCATTGTTTTTCCCCTATTTCAACTTTTTTGAGGCTACCTTCAAGGGTGGGGTTGGAAAATCAACACTTGATTCTCCTGCCTGCAGATATTTCTTTTTCCAATAAATTTTCCGAAGTGTAGGCAATATCGTTCATATATAATTTATTACCTCGTACATAACTTCTGGTGTCCGTGTTTTGTCTTTCTACTTTCAGGAATTGATTCAATTTTTTTTCCTGTTCGTGTGATATGAATACTTTTATTCCTTTCAGAGCCCTATTTTTTTTCATTACTAGGATTTTGGTTATCTGCGAAACAAATTCTATAATACCTTAATTGAACAACTTTTTGTTTTTCCAAGACAGAAAAAATTTCTAATTTCTTCAGTAGTTATGACAGTTCCCAGTAATTTGTTGAGTTCTTGACAAATCTATACCGATTTGGTATAGATGACAGTATAGTAGAGTAGAGTAGATCCAGATCCAGAAAGAAATTGAGTATTCTGGTGAATATCGATGAGTGTCCAGAAAAACGTACCCGATTGCAAAATGAGTCAAATGTCTCTATTACATATTTTTTAATTTTTGAATATAATAAGTGCCACTCTAATCAAGCACACTTGCTATTATGAAGTACAATTGGCATTGGTATATGGTTACAATTGGTAATGGTGGATCCTGCAGGTGCAATCGGGATCCATCATTAAAAAAAATGTTTTCCAGCGAGTTAGCTTTTTAATTATAGAACATCAAAAGACGAACTGGCGACATAGAAGCCAAGAAAATTCCTATTAGATGATGAAAGACAAGAATCAATATATCAGAGAAGTTAATATCTCTGCATGGTCCGTGACCATGAGAGAGAGCAGGAGTTGGAGCATTTTTCTTTAGGGCAGCTGCCCGAACAGCTAATGAACTCGGTATAGTTTTCGATTCTGAACGAGGTGACCAAAACTCTGTCACCGAGTTGGAACCCGTTCAGCAAAAGCTCAGATAAAAGCCGCAGAGATCACCTTACTTCTGCGGAGACACAAGGATAAGCCAATGCGTGGGGTCTTCGCCAATAATATTGGAGATCTTGGCTTATCAAAGCGTCTGACGTTCGCTTTTCTCAGGTCAAGTGGGCTAGAGTCGAAAACTGAGGGGTTCATCATGGCTTGCCAGGATGGTTCCTGACACAAGATGCAGGGCCTGCCGCGAGGCGCCCGAGACCCTAATGTACTTGCTATCAGCATGTCCAGCATATGCGGTCTCGGCCCATATTCATCGACATAACGCGGCCCTAAGAGTGCTATATCACCAACTACGGCACTCTTACGGTATTGACGAGACACCAATGTTGCCTTACGCTTCGGGGGAGATTGAATTCGTCGTGGGGAACGAGGAGTGCCGAATTTATTGGAACTATTCGTTCTCCACCCTCAGGCTCATACAAGCTTATTCATGATGCAGCACCAGAGCAAAACGATATTTGTCGTTTTCAGCTCCTGACGAGACAAATATCGTCAGAAAAGAGGAGGAAAAACGGATAAAATATCGAAATTTTCTCTTCGAACTCCGCAGACTCCATCCAGATCACTCTGTCAAGATGATTGTTCTGATTATTGGAGTCCTTGATAGAATGATGCCCTTTCTACTCTCGAATCTTAAAATCATACCGGCTTGCCGCACTTAGGCAGAAATCCTAGCCGCACAGATGCAGAAGGCTTTCATTCTTAGCTCACTGCGCTTGCTCAGGGCACATGATTCTCGGACTCAATGATCACTCACCCCACGGTGTGGGGAGTGGTCATTGGATGATAGGATCGGGGGATAGGGCCTGACCAGCGCACACTACGGTGAAAAATAAATAATAAACAAAAATGAAGATATAATTAATGAAATATTTAATATAAATAATAAATAAGCAGAAATAGCCCCTACCACCTGGTGCCTTTGGTGAGTCGCGTCACCACATACCCGAGCCCGTGTTAGTAATCATACGTTGAAAGGTAAGACCTCGTTAGTCTGTAGCTCGCACAAATTTAGACTTCTGAGGGTTGTCGTTCGTAGAGGTGTGATAGCTGGTTAAGGGAAAAACACATTTTGAACAACATATTTCAAACTGGTGCAAAATCGGCCCGACAGCCTAGGCGTATCCGGGTGGAAGAACACTATTCTCCTTCCGGTGCCGGCCGTGAGTCAACAGGACTAACCATACTGTAGACCCAAAACTCGGTTACTGGTAGTCGAGGCAAGGTGGTGGAACCTATGACGATGATTTGTCTACCAATTACAACCCTGGAAATGACAACGGATGCTTTGAGTCGACGCATGAGCAGAGAGTGTGCATTGTTACGAGAATAGTGGATACACGCGAAAAGGGTACATGGCGAGAATGCATACTCTGTGATGTGAAACACATTCGGAGCATGCCGTCTCTTCCGCCCAAAACCTCAGGTATTGCGTATCCCGTCTTCGGCGACAAGGCTACATAGCTCTACCATCACTACAGTTTTATCACTCGTTGGCACGGCTGGAGAGAAGACTTGTATCATGGAGATATTCAAAACACGCAATACACTTCACAGAATTAGGCCCCTGAGGCCACAAGAACTGACTTGTTTGGATGTAGAGGTTAATAGTGCTTCATAGAAGAGGCTGACATCTGGAAAATTAACACCGCCATGTAGAGCGGTGTTATTTGCCAGATGTAGAGCGATTCGGAAAGCGATTGGATGACGATGGGGGCTAAGATCACGTTGGCAAAACAACACGCGTCCTCGTATCCAATGTATGATGAATTACAAGGCGACTAGCAGGCCATTCACGCCCGCAGTGCAGTGAATTGCCGCCAAACTACGACGTATCCATCCCATTTTGAGTCAAAGCGTGCTGCTGAACACCAAATAGATATAAGACGAATGCCAGCGGCTACTAAAAAGTATCTAGTGAAACCAGCAAGAAGTATCGCGGAAAATTTCAGGTTTCACGAGGAACCTTCATACTTAATCCAATAGCCTTCGCGTGCTACGGATGATCCATCGACCGCTGATGGGGTGGAATCCTTCTGGAAGGACATCTTTGAACATCTCTATGAACACCTCCATAGGAGTTTGCATCCCAAATCGTTCGTTACCCCAACAACAGGGAAGCCATGACAGAATGGTACCGGATGGACCCTGTAAAGTCGTCAGAATTCGGATCTATTTAGGGCAGCTGCCTGAGCAAATGGGGAACTCAGTCCAGTTTTCGACATTGAACGAGATGATCACAACTCAATCACCGACTTGGAACTCCTTCAGCAGAAGGCCCATCGACATAACGCGTCCCTAAGAGTGCTGTAATACAATTTAGGGCACCTTTACGATATTGACGAGACATCGGTGTTACCATACGCTCCAGGGGTTATTGAATCCGGTGGGGGAATGAGAATTACCGTATTTATTGGAACTATATATTACCCACCATCAATCTTATATAAGCCGATGAGCTTATATAAGTTGATAAGCCTGATATAGTCCTTTTTGAATAACAGAGCAAGACGATATTGGTCGTTGATTATTTATAAATGTAATGATTTAAGATTCAACATACAGAAAATAGAGGAGTAATAAAAGTATATAAATACATTATTTGCGGTTTTATTTGTAATATCTAATATGGAATTTAAGTTATCAAATTATTACTCGTAGTACAGTGCTGGTTGAAAATATCGCTCATTTTGTAAATTGGTGTTATCGTGAATTCTCGAGGGTGTACGTACAATTCTCTAGTGTATATTTAAGATGAGTCGTTGAAGATCAGTGTATTCTTCTTTGATATTATTTCCAATTGTATTTTCTATCAAAAGTGACAAACTTATCAAGAACTGCTGTAGTCGAAGCAGCTCCAGTGGTATCCAAAACAGAAATGAATCCCAGAAAGTTTTTTTCTGATGCCACTGTATTTGTCTGTTGTAGTAGAGACGAAATAAACAATGTCTGTTAAGACGCCTTTTTTGAGAGGTTGGGGCTTATTGGTTGGTGATGCTACTGCGTGTAGTTTTACTTCTTAATTCGACTCATAATTGAGATTTATTTTGGACACATTCTATATTATCCTCCTGAACATAAATCACCACGTCACTTTATTCTAAATCGGAATCATTTCATTAATGTTTTTCTTTTTACCTTGGTTTCCAGCACCGTAGGTAGGCGCCTAGATAGCCTATACGGTAGCGCCGCGCCGGCCCGGCAGGTTAGTGATTGATAGAAAAATGTAATGGTTGATGTAGGTGTTACGTATTTATGATGTAGTTAATTTTGTCAAAATGAAACATAAAAATTGATCAAAGAAATATCACGATCCTCAACGATATTGTTGTTCGGAGAAATCCAAACGGAGACTCAAAAAAACAATTCGTAACCCTTCGCAATCAGTCTATTATGTGCTAGTGATATGATTTTATATTCATAATATAACCCTAACCTCAAATATTCTATGCGAACGGTTAAAAATGGATCTTTTGGTATTTGGTCTTGTGTTATATACAACTACATATTTCAATTCACCTTAATTGTATCTTCGAAGAAGATAAAAAGAAAGTTGTCATCATTTCTTCTCGCCCAAGCCTCTTTGACATGTTCGAAATAAGGTTGGTATAAAACTAAAACAAAAAAATGGAATTTAAATAAAATGTTTGTTAGCAAAAAACAGATGAGACGAAAATTAATAATTACAATGATAATAGTGATGAAAAATGTTGAATGATATCAAATGGTGCATTGTGCTTACTAGAAACTATTTTGGACCAAAATCGTATATCTTAAAAGTTAATAAATTAGAAGCGAAATAATTGTAAAGCAAATCACACCCCTATAAAATTTTTCAGAGATTCTGAATGAGTTTAGTAAATGAAGTGCCAAAATGTACAAGATGACCAATCGAAATTGTAACAGAGTATTCATCATTTCAAAAAAACGAATAGACTTCGCGATTTTCGATTGGTGGGGGATACTCTTTTCTAATATTTTTGACTCCATCACTTCCACCTCCATCAAGGGTGGTAATCATCTCAACATTTTCAAACAGCATGAAGGAACGGAAAGATAACTTTCGAAAGAGAATTTTTCGCAGTCTTTACATTCTAAAATTCGGCCTAATAGTTTTAGGAAATATTATATGTTCAATGTATCAACCTGCGTTCATACAATAAAGAAGATTAGAACTGTAGAATTAAGGGCTAGGTAACTGTGATCGAATGAATTGACTGATTCCAAACCTTTCGCCCCCAACTGCCATGGTCATTTTCAGCAGGAGAGTACTCCTCCAATTGGCTTGAGTGTTGCTGGTTTGACCATGTTTTGTCGATCCTCGTGATTTTCTCCTTTTCGATTGAATTTGTTTCGATATTTGGGAATCTCTATAGCTTCTTGGTTTAGCCTTTTGTAATAATGGTGTGGCGTGATATACGTCTGTTCTTTCAATTTGCATTCCATGGCCTCCTTGTAGTATGTGCTCGGTGGACTTTAATCGCCTATGCAAGATAATTTTTCATATTTTTTCAAAGGAATATTTGTATATCGAAACACGTGTTGCTTTTTAATAAACTTCCATAGTGAATTTTCAAGTATCAATTCTAGGAACAGAACGAAGGTATTGCCATGGAAAGCCCACACAATCCACCAGTTGCCAATATGTTGGAACATTCGAGAAAAAGGGTATCTAGTCGGCTCCACTAGTCCCAGGAGTTGACTTCTCTATATAGACCACAATTGTTATCTAGCTGCATAGCATTCTTCAATCTTCAATCAAAAAGATAAAAATCACTCGATTAAATATGGTATTCAGCTCACCACCGATGCCCGATCAAACCGGACACAGCCTGAGCTTATCAGATGAGTCCTCAACTCCTGGCGGGTTGGCTGTCCTTGTTCATCTTTCACTGCCTGAACCACTGTACATGCTGTTTTTGGCGAGTGCATTGGCTTGGTATGTGGGGATTGAGCAAAACGGCCATCGGATGCTTTCTTCCACGTAGCCCCGCTGGATACGGGAATGGCAAAATCACTTGTGGTTGTGTTATTCCCTAACTGAATGGCATCCCAACGATGGCTTAATACTAAGGTGTGTGTATCCGTGCCGAAAGGATGAATGACACTGAGCCTATCAGCTGTCTCTACGGAACCTTCGAGATACCGGGCGCCTTCTCGTCATAGCATCGCCTTGTCACGGTAATGCGGGGCTCTGCCTTGGTTGACCTTCTTTCCCTTGCTACTTGTGGGACTTTTATGGACAGAGTAAACTCAAAAAATTCTTTCTTATGCTTAGATCGGGAGCGAGTCTACAGAGAAGATGGATGTCGAGTTTACGACTTTAACTGAAACTGACCTCCCTGTAAATTTAGTTCAGGAGCTAGAGCTCTTCAACTCCCCAACTCCTGATCCAACGACTGAACCTCAAAAAAAAGGTTTTGTAGTGCAGCCAGGACATGACTGAGTCATCTCCTAAAGCGGGGTATCTTATAAAACCGCCTTGCACTAAATTCTTGAGCAGCGTACGCAGAATCTCTCTCAGGTGGGGGAACAAACCCCCCATGAGCAGGTTCAGCAAACGTTTACGCTCAAGTGATAATTCACCAAAACCTGAGGCGAAAAAGCCCTGCACGACTGAATCTAAGGCTCCGTCAGGTGTAGCTGACGTGCAAAAACTCTCATATGGAAAGGTTTCGTAGGTATCAAGGTAGGAATCTCGTAACTTGACTATCCGACTACCTCATTAACAGAGCATATACTTTGTGCCTGTCCTGCTGGGGACTGAATCAGGTCTTTAGAGTTCGGCAGAGCCGTACTCTTACTATCTGACCTGAAAAACCACTCACCATCGGCCAAATAAACTCAGCTTCGGGAATAGGTGTGAGCCACAATAAACCCTTGCGGTTTGCGGTGGAGGATCGAATAGACCCACTCACTTTGGACCTAACCTAACCTTCAATTCCTCTACCTCTAAGATACACATATAGACGAAGGATCTCACTAACAAGTCTGCCTACTAGTATATCGCAATACATCGCTACCAACCACTGCTGAAGATGCTCTAGCCAATATATCTTCTGGACCAGGAATACCCAACCCTGATTATCACGGTTCCCATTTGATTTCCCACCATCAAAGCTTAAAACTTCATTTATGAAGATTTTGTTCGAAAAATTGTCCTACATTTTGAAGCACTACTGGAGTCAGCAATTGACAATTCATTGATGTATATCTTCTGAAAGCTGTTAATTCATATCCACATTCTATACGACATTGGATTGGAAGAAGAAGCAATATTACATGGTCTTCCCAGTCAACTGATCTGCCGTTTCATAATCGAAGGTAAACGAGCCACCCCAAGACCGTCAGGTTTGTGCTGAGAGTTGAGTGGTTCAGCCTAGCATCATTGATGAGACCTTGGTGGGTCGAAACTGCGCTGCCTGGTGTTAGATCACAAGTTCATTAAGCAGAAATTACACACTTGAATGAATTCACATTTTCAAATGTAATTTTCCACAAAACTATTTGAAAACCTTCGAATGTCATTCATCTCCAGACTCAAGCCATTTGAAAAATTTGAGGTTGTTTTCACCTTCGTGGAAGTAAATGTGGTCTCAAAAATGCTTGAAAGAGTACCTATCACCATTTCATGAAATTCCTAAGCATGTTGAGATGGTGGCTGATATGACTTTTTCCATTGGCCAAGTCTTACTGTGAATAGCAGATGATGATAATAGTGATTTTTCAAATAACATACTCATATTTGATTTGAAAACATGAAAGAATTCTTCAAATTTGGCATCGGAAAGATCTTCAAACAGAAAACAGGAAAGATGATACATGGAAACTATGACATCTTTTGGATTCCTGGCAATATAAATGACCTGAAATAAATATAAATTTCAGCAGCATTGAATGTACTCAATATGTGATGATTAATTTTTCTAAAAAGTGTGTAAGACAATATTTTCAAAAAGCTCAAGTCCCCATAAACTTTCATTCAAAATTATTGAATAGAGCTGGTCGATTCCTAATGGAAATCCACTAATACATTTGAGTTACGCGACGTTACACAATACTTATTATAAGCAGGAATGATGAATTATTTATAAATAATTTTCTTCAAAAATAGACACCACCTATGATCAGTAAGTTGATTCTGAGCTGGACTGAACAACCTGAAAAGACTGGACATAATCCTTAATCCACTACTGAAAATAGATCAATGAATTAGTAATTAAGTTTGATTACCTGTAAAGTACAAATTCAACAAAGAAGAATCATTCAAATGAATTTCATTGTTCTTAAGGTAGTTGTATTTTTTAAATTTATTGTTTTTCAAAAAAAGTTAATTTCAAACCTTCCTTCTGAAAATGGAGAGTTTTGAATCCATTATTCACTCAGAATAGAAAAGTGAAGTCAATATGCAACTTATCTCTTCACAGAGAGACATGAATTCTCTCTTGAATTCAAAACTTCTTTTGCAAAATGACGGTTTGGAACTTACACCTTCTGGAAAGTATGGACATCTATCAATGAATTCCAATATTTTCGATACCGCATGAATGAATTAATTGATTTGAATAAATGGCCTCTGCTCAAGTTAGTTAGGGAAGCTATATAGATTATGCTGTAGATGACCCCTCACGATATATAAGACCTAGTCACTCTGTCGAATAAGGCCCTCATGCCCCCCGTTAAAAGATGAACAATCTTTTTATCAAAACACCCCAGCCAGGTAGGGGTCCACCGTGAAGGGCGGTGTATGAGGACATTCATGCCGCCATATGATCAGTTATGCCCCTCTTGTCCTTCTGACGCGCGTCAGTCCTAAGGGTAAGGGAACCAGGCTCCAACCTGTTTAAAATTAAGATGTCATTGACCGGCCTCTGCTCAATTTATTCCTACTAGGTAATCTGTTTCAATCTGTTTAACCTGTTTTTCCTTTTCCTTTTTCCCAGCTTCAACCAGATAAACTCGAGAAAAATTTCTGGTCGAGGTGGGAATCGAACCCACGGCCTTCTGATCGTGAGTCGGGCGCACTACCAACGCGGCCAATTCCACAATCAATCATTCATCAATTCATTGACCTACTTCTATCTGTTTCACTAATACATTAGGGGTTATATATGGACTTTTTAGCAAATTGAATCTAGCCTACAATTAATCATTTGATTAGACCATAGGTAGTAGCTGATGTTTCTAGAATATAAAATTGTCACTGCTTCGAGAAGCAGCAAAAGATGTATGTGTCTTGGTTTTGTAAACATTCATAGTGAAAATCTTTTGACAGAAAACTTCATCAGTATGTACCCAGAATCAGATCTCAAACACATTATTCATGTTGGTGATTTTTCCACTTATAGAATTATCCGAATGCTAACATTGTTGTGGATTCAGCAAGTGACTGGAACCGGGCCTGCTGGTCGATGAAAACCGTGTCTGCATATAGTGGTTCGAAATCATTCTGTAGGGGATAACGAAAGGGGCGAAGAGTCATCGAAGAATAATAAAGGTCAAAAAACGTGGAGGTAAAGCAAAGTCTGGAAAACGGTTTATCACTGGCTTTGCGACTTTGAATTACTCGAGTAATCAGTGTAAAATCAGTTCCGCTCCAGTCAAGTCAGCGATAGCAAGTGGAGTGAACGAGTGAAATATTGTAATAGTGAGCATAGCATTGATGGAGTTTGAGTACCAGTGTTACTAATTTTTATTTCTGTATATAGATTTAAGAAAGACCAAAAAAGTCTGAAGGCAAACGAATGAAAAATTAAGAAATCAGTAACACGCGTCGAGAAGAGTATAACTTACGGTTTTCATATATAGAAGAAATTATTTATTTACAAAATTTTTAGTCAACCCATAAGTCGACTAGAAGTCAACTATAGAAGTCATAATACAAGATAAAACATACCTTGGCCCCAACGTCAAATATATGAGGTGGATTCAAACTTATTGGCAGATGTGATTTGATGAATCGTCGTTTTCCTGTATCATACTCTTCTATGTTTTCTTTATATTTGTTGGTTAGTTCTTGCAGTTCAGCTGAAAAGGCTACCTTGTCAATTTTTTCGTGAAATTGTAGCAATGCGTCATTAATTCTTCCACTGAAATATGAGATAATGGAAATAATGTTATTTCCTTGTTATTTTCAACCTGAATTTTGCACAAAAGTATCGAGATACTACACAAAAAGTTATCGAGGTCAAAGGAATATGTTCAAATCTCATAATGACACACTCAGGCCCTCCACTCATAGGGTGAAATTTCCTACGTCTCAGTCGAACCATACGTCTTATATGATTGTCCTTAACTCTTTATCTCATCTACTTTAGTCTTTATTGTAAAATATGCAAAAATTCATTCTTCCAATTTTGCTTGAAAATAGGCAGTTGAAGAGGCGAGAGCGTTTTCAAAGATGTACCAAATTTATTGAAAACACTTTCCCAACACCATAACAAAAAAACAGAAGTATGTTAGTCAAACTGAGCGGAATATAACACCTTATTGCTATAGTTCAAGTAAACTATATAGTGAAACCTACCTTCCAACAGCTCCTCTTTAATAATTTAGTTAGGGAGCTTACTAATTTTGTTATTCAATAATCATTGACGATAATCAGGACGATATCATCGGGGAGATATCATCGCCCTCACTTTCTCGGGCATGTATTTTAAGGGTAGTCGAGTCGCGAAATGCATATGTGGTTCAGCAGCCTAGCACCATCATTGATGCTGTATTTATAACAAGTTATTCATTTCTTTACCTCAAAAGTTTCGTAATAATGAACAAGTTGGCAACACCTTGAAAATGTGTTGGTAACATATTGTTATCTATATTTACCTCTTAAGAATCATTTCAAGATAATTTTGTCAAAATTTCCACAATTGCTTCGATAATCTTATGAATTAACTAGTATTGTTCAAGTTTTACACAATCATTTGAGTAATGTATACTTTTTCTGATCTTGCAAACATTTAATGTTTCATATCAAACTTTCTTCAATAACATCTCCATAAGTCACTTTCAATTGGTGTTCACTTGACAATTTTGTTAAAATAAGTGATGAAAAGGATGTCATTCGAAACATCTGATAGAATTTCTACATTTGATTTACTTGTGTTCAGCATTTGAGATGAAAACATTTGAACAAACTGGAGTGCCTAAATCAATCACAAATCTACATACCATATCTTGGAGAAAAATTAGCAACAAAGGAATTCAAATTTGAATTTCTATGAAACCTCAATGGGTCGAAAAGACTTTTCAATTGTTTTTTTGTTTCTTGCACTTTCATGAATTTGAAGAATTTCACCAATTTGACAGTTTCTACGATTTTGTATTTCTGATTACTATGTGAAAAGCAGTATATCTGTGTGAAAGAATGTAAGATGGTGCTATTATTTAGATAAAATACTGGACAGTCTAGTGATCACACGTTAAAAAATAAGACCACATTATTCCTTCGTTCTTTGAAGTTTCTACTATTACGTGACATTGTTAACTTCCGATTTGATAGTACGCATTTTTATTGTCTCTATTCTCACTTCTAATATTTGAAAATATTTGAACCATGCTTACTCTAAATGTCGAAACCTGAAATCAATAACTTCTTCAGCAGCCTTCTGGAAATCCAAATTATTAGCAATCAGCCATATCATTTCCGCATGGAGAGTTGTCCCTGAAAATTATCACCATTGAACTATTTTAAATGAAAGACAGTATCCATATCATTTTTGTTGACCCATAAGAAATGTACAATTCATGAAGTGACAAAAAATTTATAGTCAATCAAATTGAAGCATTTCTGATCACAAAATTAATCAATGAAATTAACATTAGTATAACTAATGATGTATATATCGTAGATTATAATTTCCGTTATATTAGAGATTGGCCGATCATAATAATAATAATTATCATCTTTATTTTCTGTCAGACATATATAATACACGTATAGGAATCGTCCTTTTTCACACATATAATCGTAAGCTCACACACAATAGATGTACATATATGTGTATATAAATTAATACACGTATAGGAATCGTCCTTTTTCACACATATAATCGTAAGCTCACACACAATAGATGTACATATATGTGTATATAAATTAATACATATAAATGATTATAAAAATAAGGATATATAAAAACAGATCAAATACAAAATAAGTAAAAAGTATCGAACAATCGAATAAATACTTTTACAAACGTCATAGATTAAAAAAAACTCGCCCAAATTATACAAACTTCTTTGTATTAAAAGTCGTTTCAGCTCTCTACTGAACATATTTTGGCAGCTTATTGAAAATAATTTTTCCTATCACAGATGGCGAGTCTGATGAAATTTTGTACTTACAGTACGGAATATGAAAATTAGATTTTTGCCTCGTATTCACATTATGGACAATTGAGTTCCGCAAGAACATCTTTATTCTTGAAAATATGTGGAGACAATTCAGAATTATAAAGACTTACAACTCTAAACTGCCTGAATAAACTTCTACATGAAAAAGTACTGTTAACTCCAGCTACTATTCGCAAAATCCGTTTCTGTATTATGAATACTTCAGATGTCAATGTAGAGTTAGTTACACCACATGCATATGCCATATCCCAGCCTGGATACAACCTGGAAGTGTAATAAAGAAAGTAGGTAGTTGTTGTTCCGTCAAGAAATTCCTTATATTTCTGAATAGATAACAAGGAATTTACTTTACTAATTAGGAGTTCACAGTATTTTCTCCAATTCAGGCATGAATCCATAGTGATACCTAAAAATTCAGTTTATTCTGAACTCTCGAGTATTATGTTGCCTATTTTGATTCGGATATTAGAGGATTGTTTTTGGCGATTGTGGAATCTCATCAGTTGAGTTTTACCGGCGTTGAGAAATGTAGAATTCATTCCACAACAAATGGTAATTTTCTGTAGCACACTTTTACATTTGAAGCTAAACCTTCTTCTGACTCGCCGGACACGATCAGGAAAGTATCATTCGCATACATCGTCACAAAATTATCTCTCATGACTGTGCCCATTTCATTTGTGTACATCAAAAACAGTACTAAACCTAATACCGATCCTTATGGCACATCCATGGAAATCTCCGCATGATCGGAGTGATGTCTAAGAGTCGTATTTTCATTATTATGTGTTATACTCACATACTGTTGTCTGCTTTCTAAAATCGATTGAATCCAATCATATGCTAGCCCTCTTATACAATAAAAACACAATTTCGATAATAGATTTATTCGGTTGTCACAATCGAAGGTCCTGGTTAGGTAGTGAAAAATGCATACAGAATATTCTCCTGCTTCTCCTACATTTTAATACAAAACCTTTTCGATTCATTAATTCAAATAAGTGTATTCAGCTTTTCCAAATCCTTCTATGTAATAGACCAAACGCTCAAAAAAATGAATCTCTGCTGTGTTCGTAGATTCATTCACTCGAAAACTATGTGTTTCTGGTGAGTAAGAATTTTATGTTCACCTAAAAACTTATGAGCCTATCCAAGTAAGAATATTCGAATAATTTTGAAAAATTAGAAGTTATCGTTACTGATCTATAATTTTCAAGTTTTTATCAGTCCTGCTTTTTATATATTGGGAATACCTTCACAATGTTTAATTCTTTGGAAAATGACCCTCTTACAAATGACAGATTGATCAAGTACGTTAGAAGCTGATTATGGTAGGACATTTTTTATGAGGAAAGAAGGAACCTCAACATGACCAGAAGACTGTTTGTTCCCGAGTTTGTTTCCCAATACAGAGAATAGTTCTTCTGAAATAAAAGGTTCAGGAAATATATAATGTTGATAAATATTTATGAGACTCTCTTCGCTTAAATTTTCGTCAGTGATAATATTATTCACTATTTCCTGCGGTGTGTCAATGATAAAATTATTCAAAAGATTTGAACCAGTCATCATCATCGATTTTATTTTGTTTAGTATGATTATTTTCTGCATTTTTTTTTCTATTTGACAGTTCAGATACTTGCCAAGGTGCTTCGTTAGGATTTGATTAACCCGTTATAAAAAATGTTTTTTGTATAATTCACTGTTCATATGAAAGTATTTGTTTCAGAAGAACTTTTCTTTCGTGCAATTCAAAGTTCATATGAAAGTAGTTGTTTTCTTCCAGTTTGTGTCGGAAAGTTACTTCTTTGCATGATCTACACATCTATGTATAGAATTACTTTTTTTTAAATGATTGCTTCCTTCCTTTCTTTGGAAGATTCCCACATTTTTTTGGATCAAGATGGAGTAGTAAGATGAATATGCTCGTTGAAAATATTACGATCCACATGATTGAATTTCGGTTATTTGCTTTCCAGGAGATACCACAAACCTCCAAATGTTTTTAAAAGCAATATTTATCTAACTTTTACACTTCAAACCTTTTTTTGAAAATATAGCTACACCACCCTGTTCGTGAATGCTTCTGCAATATGCACAACTCAAATTAAATTTATCAATACGCTTTCTTTGGATAGGATGGACATCAGCACGGGTTTGAGTTAAGCATGAAAATAACGGATCGGGGCCGTTGATTCCAATTTCTAGTTGACTAATAGAATTGAAATTCAAACATTTGATAACACAATTTGAGGAGAGAAGGCTAATTCACTGCAGGAATTGAATTCACCCGTTTCCGAAAAAAGTTGCCTATACAAGCACCATCTGGACAAATTTGTGGATTCATGGCCAATTTGAAGTGCCTTTCATTGATTGTCACCTTGAAGGATGAATATACACTTGGAAAGGAAGTGAGTCCATAAACTTAAACTCCTGGAAACGTGGAAGTCAATAAAAGTTTGAGCTCTTCAGAACATGTTCCTTTATATCTACCCTAGAGACATGCAGGTGCACATTTTAAGGGACACCTTTGATATTTTATTCTTTATTGTTACCAACAATTACTTATCTATGTTCATCACGCTTACATTTACTGCATGCCACTGATTTTCTTGACTTGTGCCACTAACGCTATTCTGAGTAACACTACCATTACCTTGCTCTTTCGAATTCGGAATGGTATTTATAGTATAACCCAAGTTGAATATTTAATTATATTTTATTCTGGTACATACATCAAGTAATTCGGTTCCTAAGTGTTTCCTATTTGTTTTGTGAATTCCTTCTATCTTACTGCCTGATGATTCAGGCTGAAAGTCTTGTTTATCTGACTTCTTATAACAAACATGTTTTGCACTGGTCGACGATATCTCTTCAGCCTATTTATCTACATATTTATCATTCAGCTCATTCAGGAGGCCGGTTTGGGTATTTGATTATTCGATTTTACTGCGAAATTCTTCGATTATCACTTCCTTCTGTTTCAGCATATAACTTACTATATGTGCATCCAATTTCTTCTCATTTTGGGTGTGTTTTCTCCAAAGCGTCGTAAAACTCATTACCTGCTTCCACAATAGGGACGCTTTCACAACAGATAACATACTTTTTTCTTCAAAGGTTGTTACACTTGAGCTATTTTTTTCGCAGCTCACACTTCATACATTCAATATCGTTGATTACCTTTGATTTGCACTTTTTACGTGATGGGCACTCGAAACCATATCCATACTCGACCATATATTTCACTCAGCACGTTTCGTGAAATTCGGAGTTTTTCACGAAACAGGCAGCATTTCACAGTTCAAAATTCAGAATAACAAATTGAATTTTATTGATAATACACTATGTTCATTATTGCAAATCGCTACCAGCCCATTATCCCACATCTAACATTAGTTAAAGTAGGAATCACACGTTAAAAGGTAAGACCTCGTTTCTCAACTTCTGAGAGTTGTCGTTCGTATGGGGGCCACAGCTGATCAACAGAAAAACAGATTTCAAGAAAGATTTTTTTATAAGCAAATTATAAGGACAAACGATATTTTCATGAGCATAAATTATTCACTGTAGCTGTTTATTGTCGAAGAGACTGAGGACTGGCAAGTTCATCGAATTGAAATGTTAAACACCAAAAAGTTGGTGTTAAACACCAAAAAGTTGGTGTTTAACATTTCTTTCTCAGCAAATCAATTTGCATGGAACGTCTGGATCCACATGGAATGGGAGTATGCAGTTTATGTTTCTTCCAATCCTTTGACTTTACAAATCGAACATTCATTGATTCTTACTGATTATCTAATTGTAACTTTCAATCACATTGCTTGATTGTGGATGAAAGGACAACTCACGGGTTATCGCCACTTCTTGGATTTTCACAAGTCTTATTCAAAATATTTTTCTGGTGAAAGTATTGATCTAGTGGAATGGTATACCTAGAGAAATTCAAATACCTCTGCTAATGAACTCTAAGTATATTATTAGCAGTTTTACAAGAAATAAATAATCCACGAGAACCATCATATAAGAATAAATAAACCACGAACCCCATCATGTGCACCATATTGATGTCTACAACAGAAAACAGTTTTGTTTCTCAGGCTTATCATTTGAGAACAGTCGAATCCACCATACATTCCTGGTTCAGCTGAGAAAGAATACTAGGTTATTGGACTTTATCATCCAATACTTCTCTCAATGCTAGCAAAAAGATCGTTTTTGTATCCCTACAGTTTTGTTCTAATTGTTTTCATGAGAAAAAACTAAGCATTGTAAGGTCTGGGGACTATAAAGGCCATCCGTCGTGTATCGATACATCTTCAAATAAGTTGAATCTGTCTTTTGAGAAACCTCACTGAAACACAAACTGAAACTTCAAGGAAAACCAAAAAAGTGTTTGAAGACGGCCAAATTATAATAAAAAGAACATTCTATCAGTACCTGATTTGTTTTCTTGAAGTGATAATTGGATGCTTGGCAGTTGCTTTTCATAATAAATTTTGCATAATAAATAATTATAAGATGATTAGAAAAGGTGGACACATTCTTCACTCATCTCTTGCAACACCACTTTGATTCAATAGATACTCTAAGCATATATCAATTTGATGATAATTTAGTTCCGAAATCATGTGATATTGTTGTCAATGTCACATTTAATAACTTTATGCATGATTTTCTTTGGTTTTCAAAGTCTTTGTTTTCTGGAAAAACTATGAAAGATTGATTTTTTCTATGAAAAAAAATCATATGAACTAAGGACAAGAGGGCAAAGATGAAAATTCAAATAAAATCATAAAGTACTGAAGAGGAGCATCACTAGCGAACATTTTTCTTGAAAACTAATGTCAAGACGAAGCAAGCATCAGTAAATCGGATAACAAAGCGGAAATACTTTATGTTATAAGTAATGTCAATAAAGTAAAAGAGAATAGTGAATCTGAGAGAATATTGAAAATTGATTCTAATAACGGGGTCCTGAACTTACTAGAAAAGCGATCTCGATATTTGGACGATATTTATCAACAGTGAAAACTGACAAAATGAATGAACATTTCGATCAACAGTTTTCCACACAATATAAGTACCACAGATGTATGCATTTCCGAATCGATGTTTCTTGATATGTCCTTATCATAGGGTAAATTTTTCCTTCGCCTTAAATTAGCCTCTATAACGTTCATTGTTGAAAAAGGTGATCCTAGTAGTACTAAGAAAACAAGTAATATCCTATAGAATCACAGGTTCCATGTGACAGTCAACATGGGTTATGTATGTTTGAAAGTGGTTGACAATATTTCATTATGAATTTTACTAGTTCTATTAAAGAACAAATGAAATCAAAATGAATAGCTGAAATATCAAATAAATATAGGCAATGAAGCATAAAATTTAAATACAATAAAACGAATGAAATGAAATAATCAAGATGAAAATGACCACAGACTAAAAAAATAAAAAATATAATGAATAAACTGAAACATTTCAAAACCAAAATACTTCACGATGTTTCGATTGTAAGTATCGACAGTCGTCTCCGAGAGATGACTATTCATTAATCGAGCGCTTTTACCCTCTTTCCTCTCTTCACTTCACCAGTTCAGCGGCAGTTGACCGTTTGCAGGAAGTTGATCGTTTTCCGCTTGATTACAGGTTTCCACATGTTGCTTATTTCTACGCTATATAGGCTGAATGCGTCGTTGGACAACATATATGCAGCTTCTTTCAACTTTCTCTTGAACCAGTGTTCACCTCTGTGGATTATCTCAGCTTGAGATCACTTGATGTTATGTTGATGAGTCCAAATAACATGCTCCGCTATTTCCGATTTACAACTATATAGGAAAAACCAGCACGATAGTATGTATGCAATATACCAGGAAAAACTGAATGACTTAAGAGGCGGGTTGAAGCAAAACCTTCGAAACATGAGGATACCAAAAAAGCCGATTGAAAAGCAAATACCACCCCAAGCTCCATATTGAGAAGTATATGCCTAAAAAAATTACGGAAGAGGTTACTGAAAAAACAGAAAAGTTCATGAAGCCACCTGAGGATGAAGCTCTTCAAAGAAGAATTTACTATGTTCCGACGGATGAATAACTTCCACTAGAGATGGAAAACCCGCAGATACTGAAGGAAAAAAAACCCGCCTGAAAAAGCTAGAGCTTTCGACTCGGTTAATAACTCTTTGAAGGGCAAAAAACAAAGTAGTCGTGATCCAACATCAGACAATTTCGATCCGCCAAGGTCTCATAGTGATGATAGGTTAAACCACGAATGTAAGGTTGGAGTCATCTGTCCTTGAAAAACAAGCATGATTAATAAAAAGCGATGACATCTTCCCTTATTACGAAGATACCATTTATTGGGTCGACAGAAGACTTGATCCACCAACATCAAAGATAAACGGGGTTTCCCAAGACAGATTTGTCATCGATCGCCGCCATAGATGAAAACAGAGCCCAAAAACAAAGCATTCATGATCAATTTTCTGACATCCTTTTCGATAGACATCATATACAAGAAAGAGATAGCTTTCTTTTTCTTCTCGGGCTTTTATCGACCAATGTCTCGTCTAAAATGTCTAAAATGGCCGAATTGGTTTTTTTCCATTGTAAACTTTGCGAAAAGTTTCATGCTACCGAAGACTAAATATTCAGCAGTTCAGGGTGTAATTCTCGAAAGACTGAGGATGAATGTCCCTTTCAATCTGAATAAATTGATCAAATTTATTCACAATTATTGACAGTTAGTTGAAATCAGGTAGTAGTCTATTTTTAAATAGAAGATTACCTCTTGCAGCATGTAACTATCTTCAGTTTCAAGTATTATCATGAACTCTGTGATTACCTGATCTATGATAACCCATCAACCATACATCATCCGGTCTTGCTTCAAAATTGTATATGTCTAAACCACATTCTCTGTAACTGGGATGTAAAAAATATTTTTTAGGTCCAACCAAAATTCCACCTACGAATTTGATGTCTTTTTATCTGTTCTAAAAGTATGCAAAAACTTACGAAATTGTGGAAGATCCGGAATTCCTGTTTGAACATACACTTCATTCTCAATATCTTTCACTTCAAATGGAAGTTCTTTGAAAATTTTCCTATTTTTCGCCATCATAACTCATAAACTGAATGGAATTCAAGCAAAGACTCATTGTGTATATCCACCGAGTAAACAATGGTTAATTCCCTCTTATCAGTATTTACCATCCATTTGTCAGGTATTTAAAACTAAAATACATTGTTATTTTTTAACTGTCAGGGTTTAGGGACTAGGTACTGAGATCTGTACAAATATACTATAGACTGTATGTATAAATTTGTCCAAAATATATTTCAGTTCACGTTCTGTTTTATCTATAATATCGTCGGTCCAATGCCAAAGTCACGAATGTGCATTGATGTTTTGAGAAAAACGCATTTTAAATATTGACAACATTGCTAAAAATAGAGATTTCATTTTGTGGCACTTAACCACTATTGACAGGTTTACTTTTGCAAAACAAAAAATAATGTCAGTTGAAAATTTTAAATTTTTGTAATATTTTTCAAAAAAATGCACATTCGTTGTTTCGGCTTTGCAAAATTTACGACATATTATGTTTCGTTAAAACAAATAAAACCCATAATATTAGGAAAATTAACAATAGTTTTATTAAAAACAACGTTTTGAACATCTAAACAAAAGAAACAAACATAAAATTCCTTTACAGAAAAAACTTAAATAAAACATAATCGTTCGTCGCGAACTGAACAAAAACTAACATAAAATTTCTCTATAAAAAAAATAAATGAAACATCAACATTTCGTATTCGTCAGTATCGGAGTAAACAAAATAAAAAACAACAATAAAATCCTAAAAAATTAACTTTTAGTCTTCGTCAGTATCGGACTCTTCACCAATGTCTGGTTCCGGTAAATTGTCCCTTACCTTGGGATTTGTTTTTAGGGACCTGTAAAAATCATGGTACGCTTTCGGTATTGTTAAATCCTTACACATTTTATCCAGGTCTTTCCATTTTGCTTCGCTGATGGGCAAGTCATTTTGATAGGCCTTTTTAAAGTGGGCTTGTTTTTGACGGCTTCTGTTTTTTTGCAGTTCACTTCAATAAAAACATCGGTAAAGTCTATTTTGTAAAGAACTTTTATGCAATTATCCTCTGTAATATACCGAAGGCAGCAAATTTTTCTCCAGGGAATGTTATTGAAATTAAGGAAATTAATATTTGAAAATCCTTTGAAATTTAAAAATTCATCAAACGTCAAAAACTTTACAGTGAAAGGACATGGTGTGATACGTGCATCTCTTATAATTAAGTTGCGCCCACCCCTCAGGGGTATAAACGTGTACATATCTTGCCTTCTTCTCTATTTTCGAGTGAATGGAGTCACACTCCATTTCAGTGTGCCCTGTATCGAAAAACCGATGATCAATTACTTTCAATGATGGATGTTCCGCCAGAAGTTGGATGCACATGGCTGCAAATATTGAATTTTTTTGCTGGCCTCCACAGCCGTCAGACATCATATGCACTGCCTCGACCTCAGAATGGCTCATAATATAATCATAAACACAGGATGAAATTTCGTTAGCCCCTCTTTTTCCCTTTGTTTCGTCCCACAAGTAGCACAAAACATTTTGGTTTCCTAAATTATAGATTGTGAAATTATACACCGCTAGTTTACTTAAATAAAATATTTGTTCAGCGCATCCTTTGGGAGTTGTTAACACTGCCTGCAAATCAAAATTAAAAGCCAAGACCTTGGGATTCTCTTTTGCTATTAACTTGTCCACATCGCGGGCTTGTCTAGCTTCATTTTTTGTATTGAGATGTTTTTGATACGTTTCGTCTTCTACCCTTTCCTCTTCTTCAGACATACTTTTGTATGCCAAACATTTCTTACATTGGTCTTTTTTTGGCTTAAAGAAGCCTAAGTTGTATTCGGAAAATATCTGGCGATATTTCTCAAATGTAACAATTTTCACATTTTCAGTGCTGCACAACTCTTTGTTCATCCTGTACATAATTGATACATTAAGAGATGGGTCAAGGTACTTCTTTTTACTAGATTGACGACAATAATGCGATTCTACCGCTGGAAAGGATAGAATCTGGTTTCGTATAAATGTTTCAACATTCTGTGGTAATTTGTTTGATGGTTGATGTTTCCCGCGTTTATCTGGTTCTAAAGCTCCATTGGAAGAGTGCTTGTTTGCGGCACTTCGCATAAAGGCATCTATCACATTTAATGCGGCCATAAAAAATGCTCTACACACTGTAAGTTTATTTCCATCAACCGTAAGACTATACACACAGGTGTAGTTTTTCCTGGAATTTTCGATACCTCTTGTCGTCCGTTTCTTTGTTTTTTTTTCAATGTGATTATACAGAAATTGACGTTGATCGTCAATGCAGCTCAAATTGCGAAAATCATTTTAAACCCTTATTCGGTTTGGCTCGGTAACTGAAGCTGCACATTTATGTTTTGGTTTATTGAGACAAGGTACCGGCAAAAGAGGACGTGAAGGTTTTTCGATTCCCCTATGACCAATGTAAGACTCACCTCTGAGCCTTTTCACCTTCCCTACATTTTTCTTCCATAATTTCTCGTTTCTCTTTTTTTTCAGTAGATACCTTTTCACGGTCAGGAAAATCCTCAACATCACTTTCCCATGAGCTCTCATTTTATATATCTGACGAACCTGAAGGTTCATAGAGATCCGAAGAAGATCTAGAAACATACGAGTAATCTTCTTCCAGTATTCCTGGTAAAGCTGGAGGCAGATCATCAGGTTGGACAACCAGGCGAGATGTTGACGGGCACTGATTCAATCCACTGCATTGTTGCTGTGTATCTGGATGCTCGATGGTGTTTGTTGAGGACAGTTCGTTACGCATAGTATCATCTGAAAACAGAAAAAAAAATACTAAGAAACATAACCTAAAACCTTGTTACAAAAAGTAAAGATTTTCGACTATAAATCCTATTATTTTCTTTTCATTTAACAATTAATATTTTCTTACCTTGAGCTTGTAATTTTTGGCAATTTCTCATTATTCTTGCTATTCGGGAACTCATATTTTACCTAGATCACTATAATCACGAATATCTTAAAGCACAATTGTTTACACTGCCAAAATAACGAATGTGGCACATTCGTGAATTTGGATCTAAATGGTAAAATAATTTGCAACGGCAAAAGCACAAACGTGGTACATTCGTCTTTTCGTTATGGCAGCAAATCTCCAACTGACGCTTTCGTGGAATAAGTCCCAACTAAAAGGGAGAGAGGGGATGAGCAAATACTTTCGCGCTTTTGGCATTGCTACTATGAATTAAATTCCGACATTTTGCTGCACATAGGTGAAAATGTGCAAATTGGCACATTCGTGACTTTGGCATTGGACCGACGATATGTAGGTATCTAGATTGATTTCGATCTCAAATAAAGATATATTAAAATTCACTGTCAGCCAAAATTTTTTTTCGTTCTATTCTATCTACACTTCATTTACTTGGTGTTTTTTCCATACACAGAAATCTTCAGAAAATAACAATATATTTTATAATTACCTATGTGTTTTCGAGTTTGAAACAGTCGAGGCCACCTGAACAGTTCAAAAGGCGATTATCAACCTTGAAAATGAGCTAAGCGCTCAAATTTTTACAAGAGCGTCTTTAGAACATATAGAAAGTATCGGGTTACTCAAACAGTCCTGAATCAATCCTATTGTTGATCACTAGAGATTTGGTAACCACCAATATGGAAGTGAAAAAGGAAGTGAACAAAGAGCTTACCTAGTCATCGTTTAGGCGGAAATCTCAAGATCTTCAAAACACCTTTCTGAAGAGAAAATTTGAAGCACATTTAAATTGTACTTTCCTGGGAAAATCTGTGAGATTGAATCCACGTACCCAATTTAGTCACAAAACTTCAGACAAAAGACATTTAATTTCTCATTCACAAGTCTGGGTTTGAATGGTATTCATATTCATAAATTTATTCTTCTTTGAATTACAACATAAGTTGTTCCTTAACTGAGGCATAACTAACCGAACGTCTTCAGTAATTCAATTTGTAGAATATAACGAATTTGAAAGTTAGGTATAAAAAACTTTCCCACCTTCTTGAGGATATAAAAAATTTATACTTATGATACAATTTCATTGCACAAATACTTTTTACGGTGATAGGTGACATCATTTGATGTTGGGTAGTGGTCGTTTATCCTTTTCTGATAAACATTCCCGAAGTACTCAATTCCATAATACTCTATCTACATCGATTCAAGTCATTTTTCTGAAAGATGTATAGTGTGAAATTATTGACAATCTCAGTATATTTGTAACAAGCTTAGTGGGTCAGATATTCTTTGACAAGCCTCATTAGGTCTCTCTCTCTCTCTAGCAGTCTCTAACACGAATGATTTTGAAGAGAACATACTAGTTCGAGTATTGGAATTCAACTGATGAAGTGTTCTTTCTTTTTCTGGATTTATGAAGCTTCATATATTGAAATTTACTGCTTTTGGATTCATTCTGCTAAGATCGATTTCGTTGTTGAAGTAGGTACTACCTGCACTTATCACCCACATATTCTTCTGAAACACTAATCCATCTGCAGAATAATCACAAAAGTGCACTTTTAGAACTCAGTGATCTCAAACTGAGCAATACTGAGAATTATGTGTCAACTATTTTTCATTACAATTCTGGCAAATGACAAATGTATCAACAGACAGAGAAGAAACAATCATTTTATTATCTTTTGATTATAGCAAAGCATTCAACAACATGGATTTACTACAGATGTATTTTTGTTTGCTTAGCTCCACTATTATATTTTCAGCGAAAATTCATATGTGTATTGAACTAATTTGTAATATTTTCCAACCTGTGGTATAAATGTAGCACTGAACTTTCAACATGCTACTTAAGTTCAAAATACGTATAATCTACCTATGCAAATAACATATTTGCATCAATTCGCTAAAAACTATAATCTTTTGCAAATAACATTGAATAACTAGTGGAATTTTTCGAAAGTAATTGGTTGAATTTGTTGTTATGTGTTAGTCAACACAAAGAGAGCGAAAATGGAATTCTGTGTGTACTATTTAATGTTGAAAAACATAATTTGAAATGTCAAGTCCTCCATTATTATTTCTGGGAAGATCCATTACCGACGGAGGGGCTGATAATGTAATACTTGAAACTGGTGAATCTTCATTGAATGTTGAATCACAAATGGATTCTGATCTCAAATCGAAGGGACCCAACCAAATTCCCATGATTTGTTTAGCGAATAACATAGTTACATAATACCATTCACTGGAAAATGTTTGTGATTCAATTATTGGGATATACCTATTCTAGTGCCCCTCTCTCAATTTAGCTGCATTTTCAATTTGAAATTTTGAAAATATCAATTATGTGGGATACAGATACTTTTCATTATTTTGAACCATAAATTTGCATACACCTCATCAACCGCTTACTCTTCTGCAGAATATTCTTCACATATAAAAAGCTCCGCCTCTAAGCATACCCTGAGGCCGACAGCCCAAATATCGCACGCAACCTTGATAGCATAAACCTAGAAGAAATACTGGGGATTGTCCCTTTTTTATAGATACTTTCACAAACTGAAGTGTGAGGAAATCTGCAACTGTTCATATTCCTTTGAAGTTTGATTCATTATACTTGGAACTACACTTTTTACGAACTCTGACTTTTGGAGAATTGTGTCCTTGCCAAATAAACTTTCTAAGCCGCTTATTTCCACAGTAATCGATTTCAGAGCGTTTTAAAGACTAACATGCATTGCTTGAACATCCCCGTAATAAAGAATACATTTTCACTGAAGATATAGTAAAAATGTACAGAGAAATCTCCAACAACTTTGGTCTCATTACGGTCTCATGAGCATATAATGCATTAATTAAATATGATTTCTTTGGTAGGCTAATCATTCTTTTTTTATTTCTGTTTGGAATGCATCTGACTTGACCATTTTTCATGTCTACGAAAGACTTTGTAGCCTCCCGAACTCATTGAGATTGCCTTCTTTTTCATGACTTCCATTTCAACAATCTTATTTTCTGTGATACTTTGTACAAATTCTTGTTGGATGTTTGTCATATACATAATTTGGGTTGTCAAATTGCTAGTCTCTTGTGGAAAAGTGTCCCAGATTTGAATGAAATATGGCAAGCTGTCTGTGTCCTTTAGTTACATTGCTTGCAGCGGAGTTCTTCGTTTTACCGCCCTATATTTTGTTTAAGTGTACGTTAAGTTGGCAGTGTCTAGTGACTAGCACTCAATTATTCTGAGACGATCCCTGTAGTGTTGAAAAGGCTTATCCATTTTCCTTTACAGGTATTAATTCCCGGAAAACTATAATTCTTATAGACCTTTATTCTGATCTGGTTCGTTACCAATGGTTTTGTTTTCCCCACAACTGGTTCAGAGCCTATATCAATCTGCCAGTCCCATCTGCCAGTTCTTCTAATTCTCGGCATTTCTGGACCAGTCTAGATGCATATGTTATATGGTTTTAACCATTCTCACAAGATGTGAAGAAGGAAGATGTGAGAATGTCTCCAAGGCTGCTGTTGATGAGGTTGTAATTGCACTCGTTATTCCTGAAGAAACAAGTCTTTCTAGCCTGATAAATCTGCTGAGAGTGGTCGTCTCCGATGACTGTTCATTGATGACCAGTCATCGGATATATTAATTCAGGATGTATAAATCTCTGGCGGAGGATGAAATTCCAAAAATCCACGGCCTTCAAACCCGGAAAATAGTGAGTTCTTTCTATATTATTTTCGTATAATAAATATTTATAACACTTCAAAAAATATCTTAATAATTTTTTTAGAACAGTCAAACACTGAATTCCAAATTTTTGAATGAAGTTCATCCTTATATGAAAACTACCTCCTTTTTGGATGAAATCCATATGCAGTTGTGAAAAAAATTATTCTCGCCTTGACCTTTCAGACTTTTTCTTCGATATTCTACTCTAACTTGTTCAACAGATTTAATAGGATATATATTTAATATCCTCATATCATATTCCAAAAGTTCATATAGATGAATACCGTTATTAAACAGGTGTAATAAATCTAAGAATATCTTACTCATACAAAACTAAATCACATTTATTTCAAATTCTATTAGAGAGCTGCAGAATCAACATATAGGTATCAATAATTTTTCAAACCAGGTCGAAAACTCAAAATATTACATCGTTCAAGACAAAATTAAACCAATATAATATTTACAAAAGTACAGCTATCGATACATATCGGAATTTTAAATTTGTTCTTCAATTATCACCACAATATATACTACAGAAATATACATTACAAATTTCACTAGGTATGTATCACAAACATTTCAAACACTACACTTTAAAATATACATTAGAATGGACTTCAAAAGGATTCAAATCCTCCGCCTGAGAGTTTTGTTGCATATAGGCTGACAACCTGAAAAAAAAATTAATTTCATTGTGATGAAGTGTGAAAAAATTACAACATTGATTAATGGTTGTATCATACACCTACATATATAATCTAAAAACATATGCAGAATTTTGGTCATACTAACAAAGGTTACATTCAATTCTTTATGAAATGTAGCTCTCATTCGATAAATGAATAAATAAGTTTTTGAAAACTGCTGATATTGTGCAGAAATACTATACTTGCTGCAAGGCCAAAATGCTATCATTATTATCGACTCCGACGATGCTTCGTGAGAGAAAAAGACATTTTTAGTGTAATTTGTGGATGAGTATGAAATATTCATTTTCATAGATATATGTCTCGGAATATTATTGTTATTGTGTGAAAGCTACTTTCTTTTTTATACAAGTATAATATGTGTTTATGCAACTGAGATCTTCAACTTCTTGATAATCTTGTTGAAAGGAGTTCTTAGTGATAAAATCCGTGTTCCACGAAATAATATTAAATTTTTATTCTCTTTATGAAAGCAATAGAACTTTATGAAAGCAAATAGAACCCAGTAATGAAAACGTGAGGAGAATTGAATAAAACCCATGTTAGTTACCAAGTAACTACTGTTTATTTTTGATTTCTTCCACGAAAATAAATTTGAGATATTGTTATTCACTGTCATGCATTAGGTATTCAATTATATCAGGTTTCCAACTAGCCTTTATATTTTTTGTGAGATTGGCCTTTTGAAATGTGAATAAAAGAATCAGTTAAAAAAATATCTGCACTGAAAGTTTTTATTGTTTCAACAAGTACAAAAAAAGATTGAACAAATATTAACAATAGAAGGCTATAAAATTCTTCTTCTGTCGGTACTGTTGGTTAAATATTTGTGTAAAAATCTTCACACTCTGTTGGAACATTTTTTTTGAGCTTTCTCATGTCTTTGATTTTCAAGGGATTGATTGGTACTAGTGAGCGAGTCGAAAAGTTTTCTATAGTAGGATTACTAGAACAACGACCTTTTATTTATGTCAAGGCATACCGTGAAGAAGTGGCAAGAACTTCTCTGGGTTCATTAGAATTAAAATTCGATTATGAAAAACTGGACACACTGAAGGAAACTTTGTCCTCCTTATTCACTTTTTCACGTAGCACCTTCCTCACAGTGGCCTTGAAGTTAACCTTTGACAACTTTTGAAGTATATGATATCGACATATGTGACACTTTTCACGAAAAAATAATGCTTTTTCCTACTGAAGTTTATTGAATCTATATTATTGTTTATGAGTAAATAAACGAACAATTATTGTAAACTTTCACGGCTGGAGATAACTGTGTGAAAGCTATTTTCCAGGTTTTTTGGCAGTGGCCTGCAGGTTTTTATGCTTGACGTTTCGTCTAGTACTGTGGTAGACAGGCGATGTGGTAACTGTCGCAGTGCCCGAGATGGTGCTTGAGTTACTGTTCCCCTCGTTTCGACCGCATCAACTGGGGTGCTGGTATTTGACTGTGGATTTTATGTAAGAGAAGCCAAGCCACGCTCACTAATGATTACATAAACCTATGCTGTTTCCGTCGAAACGACGGAAACAGCATAGGTCTCATTCCAAATTCACTCAAAATATAAGGTATCAATGCAGTTTATTCTGAGAAGTGATCCCCAAAGTAGATTTCAATCAGAAAATTTTTCTTCAAACTTTTGAGTTGTTTCAAGTATATTTACTCTCATTTGACCATTATATTAATTGTAAGTGTAAGAATATTTCGACCCAGATATACCCTGGTGAATGCTGAGATGCACTTTTATTTTAGAAAATGTTTTAGACCGAGCGGAGTAGTTCGGACGTTGCCGCAAGATGGTGCCAATAATCAATACTTCTATTGATTCGTCATCAATCGATCCTTGATAAATTATATTGCGAATACTATTATTCTTCATCAGGAACAGATTAGTCTTGTTCACTATGTGAAGTATTGGGTGAAATGAGGCAATATTGCTTTTCATATTGGTGTTTCAAAAGTGATGATTCAAGTATAACGTTGTATAAGGTACCTAAGGTAAGGACAATTTGTAAAATATTCTAGAAACAAAATGAACCATAGACATAAAAGAAAAATGTACATTTCAATATTGATGAAATTCAAGTTGTCAATCGAAATATAAGAACAAAAGGTGCATATAATTTCTTAAAACATGAAACGTCATTTTTGTCTCACTATGGATCGATCTATATAGGCCAATTTATAATGATAATAATAATAATTGCTTTTATTGATTCTACAGAGAAATGGCAACATGAGCAGACCTTGCCCTTCCATCCCTATGATGTAGAAAGGTGCATTTTGTTCTTTCCCATATAATGTATTTCGGATTGAGTCATTCACGCAAAAAGTTATTTGCCATCTCTCTTCGACATATTTTTATCGAGCAGAGAAAGCGTATCACTGTAGGCAGGATGGACAAATCCGGAATAAACTAATGCAAACGAAGCGCACTTAATATCACGAGAAAGGATCCACAGATATAACATTACTTGCAAAATATTTTCATTACTATTCAATAGACTACCAGTAATGCAAACGTGTTCACTCACATTTGCATTGTAAATAAAACTACAATATTCATATTGAAATAAAATTGGGTCACAACGCACACAAAATGACACCATCAATAGTTTTAGATTCTTATAGATTAACAAAAGTAATTCAGATAAATCTGTGAACTTTCATGTGTTTGCATGCATAATCTAAAATAATATATTATGTCAGTGTGATAACAATTCACATCTACCTCTCAATTTACATCATCACGTTGTAGAATTCACAGTACTTTATTGTCACACGAACAGTGATATTAAAGGTTTTTAAGCGGTCCATAAAAATGAAATCAAGTAAACCAGCCACATTGGTCGATAGATTTACATGAAAATGTTACAAGAATTTAGTCTAAAAGTGATAAACCATACCAACCTTATAAATGAACATATACTGTTCTTTTGTCTGCACTGCGCTAGCTCTATCTCTACGTATCCTGTAAACAATTCTTGGAATATCTACAAGGCGTGTTTGCTCAAACTCTCTGATGGCAATATCACATGCTATCACTACTCCTGTCCTTCCTGTTCCAGGGCTGCAATGAACTACTACTGGGTTCACTTCATTAATGGCTGAACCATTCATATTACCGTTGATGACAACGTTCTGAAATGTTGAATGATTACTTGAAAAAATCTGATTTACCAGTAAACAAATAAGTCGAAGGGTCATTACAAAATCAAATTTTAATTTGTATACAACCCACAATTTTTAAAAAAACTCTTCTATGATAGTCGATGTATCCTAATGCACCCAATATTTTGATTGTGAGAGCAATTTAATTTGTGAATCGATTTTTTCACAATTTGGTAAGTTTTCGAGGAATCTTTCATAGGCACAGATTACCGACTAATTATTTGTGGAAATTAAAATGTGCTAGTGATAGATTTGTTGTAATCGAATAGTTTGAACATTCAAGTTCTAATTTTTAGAAAATATTTTTTTAGGCGGGTTTGAGTATTTGAAAATTACATCAACCTTCTGAAATCTTTTGGAGATCTAGAATCATTTGATCGTTTCATTTTCTTCGCCACTTAGTCTATAAACTTAAGAAGATTATATTATTACAGATCTGATAAGAGTTTTCCAGATGGTTTCTGTGTAGCACTGTTTTAAAATATAAAGCATTAGTATTTGATGTTGACAGAATGAATAAAGTAAGCTAAGGTTAATTAAGATAGGAGGTTCAAAAATAATCTAATATTCTGAAAATATACTTTCATCTTGAGTAACTGAAAAGTAGAAAGAATCCAGGAGGTCGAGACAAATAGACGGCCAGCAAATGCAGGTATCTGCTGAAGAAATATTCAAATGAAAGCTTTGAGGCTACTGAATGCTAAAGGCAATATTAGTGTCATTTATCAACTTGAGTTTGAAACAGCAGGACTCAGGAAGAAATAGGTACCTAACTAATTGGTATTGTATCCAAGGGGACAAGCTTGTCTTTGCAAAAATTCCACACAAATCAGAATGCAGAACTTCATTCATCGACACAAATAAAGGAATGAACTGAAAGGTAGAATTGAAACTCCTGGTGTAGAATGAATCCACCAAAAATACTTTTACCAGACATTGAAACTATAACACTCTTCTTCATGCAGGTTTCACCTACCAAGTTCCTGTCATCAAAGATCAGTCTAGAAACCTCGAAGATAATTGGAGAGATCATTATGTTTCTATCTTCAAATGATTCAATAATATCAGAAACAAAGCTGCACTGACTGTGCTGAAATGTATCCAAGCATTACAAAAACGGGAATCAAAATTGAAAGTGCTATTACTGAAAGTCAAATACATTGATCAGAAGAATGAAGTTGATGTTCATCACTCAAAACATCTTCATTTAACACAAAAATTGAAAGAGTATTGCATACACGGCTTTCTATTAGAGAAATATGTCTTTTACTCAAAAAGTTAAAAAGCGCTTTCCATTGTTTCATACCGATCACCAAGAAACACTGTTGGTCACTCAATAAGTTCGTAAAGGAGAGTGCTGAGATTCTTATGGAAACTAACTTCCCAGGTTCTGTCTTTCCTGGATTGACGAACTGGACGGATGTACCAACAACACTCTCACAATACGACTGGCAATATGCTAGTACAGTTATTGATGAGGACAAAATAAGATGGGCTATATTGGGCTTTTCCCCCTTCAAGTCACCAGGAACTGACGGTATAAGACCAGCCCTACTTCAGTGGGGACTGGACACTCTTATGCCGCACCTGGTTGGAATATTCAGAGCCTCTCTATCTCTGAGGTATATACCCAGTAAGTGGAGAGAAGTAAGAGTAGTATTTATACCCAAACCAGGTACGATGAACTACACCCTACCAAAAGCATTCCGATCAATTAGTCTCACATCGTTTTTCTTAAAAACCATGGAGAGGCTATGTGAGCGGTACATAAGAGATGAAGTACTTGTTCACAACCCACTTCATCCAAATCAGCATGCTTATACCCCAGGAAGGTCTATGTGGTTGTCAGAAACGAGAGATCATTGAACAACAAAGAATCCACCCTGGGTATATTCATAGATATCGAGGGAGCGTTTGATAAAACAACTTTTCCAACAATTACCCAGCAACTACACTCCAGGAATGTAACCCTGGTAGTAGGAGAATGTATACTCCAGATGCTCTCTAGTAGATCAATGAGTATTAATGTAGAAGACATCACAGTGAAAGGACTGGTCATGAGAGGATGTCCACAGGGAGGGGTTTTATCACCCCTTCTCTGGAATATAGTTCTGGATACCCTAATTAATCACCTTAACAAAAATGGATTCTACACAATTGCATATGCAGATGACATAATTATCTTGCAGACTGGCAAATTTGTAAACACACTGTGCGATAGAACGCAGAATGGGCTCAAATTAATAGAAACATGATGAAAGGAACACTCACTGTCGATCAATCCCAAGAAGACCGAGATGGTCCTTTTCACCAGGAAAAGAAGTTTAACGGGCTTAAAACCTCCCGAAATCTTCAGAAGCAAAGTAAACTTCTCTGAAGAGGTGAAATACCTTGGTACTATCCTCGACAAGAAGCTAACATGGAACTCTTATCTACAGAGTAGAGCAAAAAAAACATACGTGGCTAATGAGTAATGTCGGAGGACAGTGGGACGCGTAGGAGTCTTTCACCCCGTGTGGTCNTTTCGAATATTTCAAGAGAAACAATATGGAGATAAAATAATGGAGAGTCAATGGTCGGTATGAAAAAGAAGAAAGATGGTTTTCCAACCAGAAGATGAAAATACTGCTCGAAATATGTCGATAAATGAAGGAAAATAATTTTTCCTTCAAATTCTCGAAAATTTCAATAGAAAGTATTTTGTATTTTGAAGAGACTTTAAACTTGATAATCAACGCTGGTTTGGGTAATGAATGTAATAAAAATTTTCTACTTCATTGGCAGAATATATGCTCTATGATGTGACATATTTGGACACATATTTGAACACTTAGAAACTGATAGGAGTGGTAGATATAAAAATCAACTAAACTATTTCAATACACACAGAACAGTGATGAAAATTAAGATAATTATCAACTAATCGAAGTGTCACCCGTCGCCCCATCATTACCTATCTGGAAGACAAGAAATTGTCTCTTATAATAAACATGGTTTCACAACAATGATCCAGTCATTTTATCAAAATATTATTCAGCTATTTGACTGTTAATCACAAAAAACTACTTTTCAAGTTACATATTAAGTTATAGAGAATATTTCAATTAAATCGATTAACCTACGGAATCGTCAACATCACATCTGTATTAGAAATAAATTGCTTCAAGATATCTATTTTGATATCACTTTGCATTGGAAAACTAATTGTGGGAAACTCATTAAAATTTTCAGAATTTCTATCAAAAATTTTACGAAATATATTGGATGAACATAAACTTCGAAATATTAACTTTGCTCAATTGGAGATATCGAGTGAATTTTTGGGGTTGAGCCACATATGCAAGTTGTGATCTTGTTGCTCAAAATAGATTGATAAGGACTACACCTGGTGTTTCTCAAAGAACAAGTTTCAAGTTTAGAATCACAACTCTACCGACAATTTAAATTTTTGAACTGTGTATGTACAAAAATGAGGGGGATAAAATGTCTATTGTTTCATAATCTATTCGATATACATATAATATAATAAATGTGTACAATGTACATATTTATTAATTTGTTCAAAACTAGCCAAACATGTAACTTTTGGAAGTAATATGTAATTTTAAATAGGTTTCATTTACTTCTGTATCAATAGGAAAATTTAAAACAATTAATTCACTGATTCATTAAAATTCAATATCGATTTTGATGATACTCACTTTGAGCTGAAGACTGGAAATAATATATTTATCCTTCACATCTCTTTTTTTCAGAGTAACTTGGAAATCACCAAACAACCTATTGCAGTCTAATATTTCGGAAGGTGGAAGATAATCAAAACATTTTTCCTGAAAAGAATAATTATTTAAAAAAAATTATATCTGCATTTATGTGTTTTTTTCATACCATTCCATTTTCAAAAAAATGGGTAATCATCAAAATTACTTTTGATTGTTGTTCCCACATCATTCTCCAAAAGTCATCAACGGTGTCCTGTAATGGAGCTTGACATGCAATATAATATCCTTTTGTATTTTTTGGACCCTGGAAAAGATCCTGATTTGAGTTTTTATAAAAACCGGCATGGGGAATAGCAACATTGGTTGATGATAAAAGTTACTTTTGATGTTTTAACAGTTCTACAAAAGAACCTGCATACAAGTTTATGTGTTCTGATCGAGATAATGAATAAGATATTAACTTTCTGAAAGTCAGTTGTGAAATTAACTGAATAATTTTGTTTTTCAATTCAATCATGCATATGTACTGCCATTTTTTATTAGGCGCTTGGTATAACTATTTATCAAATGTAATGATTATACTAGACAGGAATATTATCAGTTCAAATTGAGTGAACAGGATAATGAGAACATGATTATAATCAACAATCAGGATATGTTATATAGCTAACAACGGAATAACTAAAAATTTACAATAAATGTAATATCATTGGTGATATATATCCTGATTTGAAAAATTTCAACATGACCTACATTAAAATATCACAGTATATTATATGAAGTATACCATCGATATCATTGATGTATTATAAGTAGACAGAACAGTTTGAACAACATACAACAATTATTGAAAAATAATATTGAAAAAACTCCCACACTATGTCGAAGCTATTTTCCGGACTGACTGGCAGTGATCTGTAGGTTTTCAAGCCTCACGTTTCATCTACAACTGGGAAATACATTATCAAAGGCGATGAGGCAACATAAGTATTGTTAATGTCGTCAAATTAGATACTACCGAATTGGTTTGGTTCTCCAAATTAATGAGTGAAATTGAATGACCTGATATGCAAGCAATTATGTGCAGGTGGCCATATTTTATTAGTTTTGATTTATTCCTCCTTTCATTTGAAGTTTCTGTGTTTCTGAAATTACATTGCTTTCCTATATAGTAATGGATAGTCCGATGCTGCCATATGTGATGGAAAGCTGTTTACAAGAAAAGCTTTCCTGCCATATTAAAAGGAAAGCTTTTTACAAGAAAGGCTTTTGTGCCATATGTGAAGAATTTTACCGACGGGACGGGACGTTAAATCGATATTCAGGCCAACTAAAACCATCAGAGAGATGGTTGGTCATCTGAGGATACCGTAGGGCGTTTAGAACACCAGGAATATACCGGATCCTTTGTAGCTGTGAATTAGTCTACATATTCCCGGCCGTGGAAGCTTACACGCTTTGATCAACTCCAACATTGTCTAATTTCTTTTCAATTTGATGATCTTTTCTGTAAAGTGAAAATTTGAACTGTTCAACTTTCAATGAATGTTGAAACGATGGCCACGTAGCAGGGATGGACTCGGTAACGTCCATCCCTGCGTAATATAAATCGAATGACTATGAATTTCACGAGCGGTTAGACATAAAAAACACTACTAAGTGTTCATAAGTATATTTGCTAACATTTCAATGATTGTTTATCGCCTTCATAAGGGATACAAAATGGATTGAATTATAAGCATTCACATCAAAAACATGTTGTCAGAAAATTTCTGTACAATACAATCCTTTGAGTGTACTCACCTAATTGTTTTGGCGATTAGTGGTGTCATTGAGTCTAATAAATTTGGACTTCTCCATAAAAATCACAAAATAATTTTCATTTGAAAGAATTTGGTATATAATCAAAACCATGAATAATCACTAAGCGACATATGAAATACTCACAACTGAAAATACAAATTGAAACTATATTTGGATATTCGTATGTTTTCGATTCTTTGATTAGCATTGAGTTTCCACAAAAACTATATGTTTATTCTGCGATAAGGGATTGTTTTTTCAATAACATACACATACGGTTTTGGAAGAAACTTAATACTAATCTAAGATTCGAAAACATATAATTTTACAGATATCCTAATGTAGTTTAAATGTGTATTTTCAGTTGTGAGTGTTATATGTTTTTCCAAGTGATGATTCACGGTTCTAATTAGGTATTCACCGAATTTTGAGATTTTGTATGGAAAAATATAAATTTATTAGAGACACTGACACCACTACTTGCCAGAACAATTGGAAAAATACACTCTGGGGATAGCATTGCACAGAAGTTTTTTGACATCACATATTTTATGCAAATGCTTATAATTCCACTTATTTTGTAGCACGAAGGAAGGCGATAATCAATCGCCGAAACGTTGTGAACACTGAGTAGTGTTTTTTTATGATCAAATGATAGTGAAATTCAAAACCATAACACATCTGGACGTGAAAATGAATCTTATTGTATAAATAAATAAAATATACATTTTANGAAAATAATGAAAATAAAGTGTTATTTGGGCAAAATTTTCAGTAAACCACTATTAGTTACTTCATGTACAGGGATTGTTAAAAAAATAAGAGTGAATGTTCAAATTTCGCGGGCTTCGTACATTCGATTAGCTTTTTTTATATGTTGCTATACTCGTCTCGAATATATGTTTACAGTTCCAGTTATTTAGCATGTTTAGTTTGTTGGTGAGAGACATAAAAGTTAGAAGTGTTTTGAGTGTTCGGTGATTTTCTGCTGTCGAAAAAAATGGATCAAAGAATTAACCATAAATTTTGAGTAAAAAATGGAATTAAGTGATCAAAAACACTTGAAATATTGACAATCGCATACGGTGATTGTATTATAAGTCAGAAAAATGTTTCACAGAAGGTCGAGAAGATGTGACAACGCTTGCCCTGGACGCCCCAGCATATAGACAACCGATGAAAATGGAGAGAAAGTGAAGGGAATTGTCAGCATATCGGTTGCTTCCTGCCATGTAATTTTTTGGTAAATTTTGGGCATGAAGCATGCCGCAGCGAAGTTCGTTCCAAAATTGCTGAATTTTGACAAAAAACAACGTCGCATGAGCATCGCTCGGGAATGAATGAATGACGCCAATGGCAATCCAGATTTGCTTAAAAGGGTCATAACTAGTGACGAATCATGGGTATATAGTTATGACGTCGACACCAAAGTTCAATAGTCCCAATGGAAATGCCCCGGAGAACCAGGACCTAAGAAAGCACGCCAAAATCGATAAAATGTCAAGGTTTGGCTTGATATTCATGGTTTTTGCATCACGATAATGCAATTGGTCACAAGTGATTGCTTCTTCGTAATTTTTCAGCCAAAAACAACACCGCAATCATACCTCAGCCAACGTATTCAACAGGTTTGGTCTCCTACGACTTTTTCTGTTTTCAATATTAGAGAAAACCATGAAAGGACGGCGTTTTGTGACGATTGAGTAGTTTAAAACCGAATCGCTGATGAGAACATATCAAAAAGTGCATATCAGACCTGCTTTGAGGATGAAAAAAAAAACGCTGTCACAAGTGTTTTATATGTGAGGGAGACTACTTTGGAGGGAACAAAATAGAAATTGATGAGAGTATCTGGATGGCAACTTCAGCTGAGTTTTATTTTGTTTAGTATACTAACAAACTCTCATTGAGATTTTAAACTTTATATCTTACTTACTTGCAATATTTCAAATGTATATGTTTAGTATAAATAGTACCTGTTGACATACCATATGTACATATTGTACCTCTGTGGCTGAATAAATTATTATTATTAATCATCGATATATAGTTATGACGTCGACACCAAAGTTCAATCGTCCCAATGGAAATGCCCCGGAGAACCAGGACCTAAGAAAGCACGCCAAAATCGATAAAATGTCAAGGTTTTGCTTGATATTCATGGTTTTTGCATCACGATAATGCAATTGGTCACAAGTGATTGCTTCTTCGTAATTTTTCAGCCAAAAAAAACATCGCAATCATACCTCAGCCAACGTATTCAACAGGTTTGGTCTCCTACGACTTTTTCTGTTTCCAATATTAGAGAAAACCATGAAAAGACGGCGTTTTGTGACGATTGAGTAGTTTAAAACCGAATCGCTGATGATAACATATCAAAAAGTGCAAATCAGACCTGCTTTGAGGATTGAAAAAAAACGCTGTCACAAGTGTTTTATATGTGAGGGAGACTACTTTGGAGGGAACAAAATAGAAATTGATGAATAAATAAATATTTCTTGATAAAATTGAAATTCACTTTATTATTTGAACGAAACTCCTTCAAAACACATTTGGAGGCGGACGCTGAGGTTTCGCTACAATCCTGCCTTAATTTATATCAGATAATATACATCTCCAAACCTTTTAAACATTATCAGGTTAATATAAATTTCTTCGAAATTATTTTCAATGAAACAACTGTAAATTTTAGTAATAATACGGTAATACTTTTCTGAACTTACTGTGACGTAATTGGCATTGATATAATCGCTATTCGGATATCCATCAATGGTTTTCAGAAACACTCGTGTTTCTGGTAGAGGAATCACGTTTGCATATCTGTTCTTTGGTTCACAGCCCTCAGGAAGTTCGCTAGTCTTTGCTGTGATTTGGGGGATTTCCTCGAATTCTGCTTTGATGTCTTCAGTATTAGCTGCAAATTTCGCAAGAGCTGGGAAATTCAATGGGTGTGTGACTGCTACCTGAGAAAAAAATGAATATTTTTGAGTTTGCAAAAAAGTTTTTAATGGGTTAAAATAATATTTATTGTTCAAAGGCCCGTATCGGTCAGCGCTTGCGGGACGCGCATCGCCCTGGTGATATTTTCGGGAGGTGGAACTTTTTTTTTAGTAAATTTCCTCCTCTTTTAGGATCTTTTTTCAAATTTCGGATATGTTCAACATTTTCCGAGATATTTGCAAACAACCAAACCACACTTTTTTTACTAAATTTGAAATTTTTCAAAAAGTTGCTAGAGGTCATTCCGAATCGAATGAGCCCTGGATCATAATTTTCGGTGCCCTTGGACAGAAGTTCCAAAAAAAGGATCTTGTGACCCAGACTATATAACATACAGGAAGAAACTGAATCAGAATAATCAAATACATATGCATTGAGCATAAGATAAATAGTCCTCACAATGAACCAAAAACCATGGGCAAACTATAATGTCCAGAAAAAGCTATGAGCCCAAAGATATTTCTATTTTTAATGAAGAACTAAAGGCGTCATGTGTTGACATGGCTAACAATTTTAATACACATTTCACGAAACCGGAAAAACAAAGAGAGTATGATCTCAATTTTATGGAACATATAGTCGTACTTTGCCCAAACTACATATTTTTTCATCTAATCAAGGAATATGAGGTTTCTGAATTAATAAATTGAACTAAAAAATTCTAATGTCAGCGGATATGATCAGGTCATGATCATAATATATTAGCACTTGCAGAATCAACAGAATCTATATATGAGAAAATAAGGAAATGGGCTAACGAAAATCATATCAGCAAAACAGCATTAGAAAAATTCTCAATGCGGAACACCACTAAAACTCTCAAAATATATGAAGATAGCCCACAAGAGAAGACATCCAACCCAGAAACAAAAATGCTAGATCTAATTCTAGATCATGAGCTCAATTGGAGTTCTCATATAGATTCACTATGTGAAGTACTGCACTGAAATTTATGTCGAATCACTGTGGAAGAGCGGTTCTCCTAAATCTGTATTATGCAACTATTGGCTGTCACTTGCGCTGTGGAATCTTGAGGCGTTTTCTGGCGCTCATGTATTCAAAACGTATTCTTCAAATACATTCATTCTGGCGTTGAAACGATAACGTCACTTTGAAACGGAATTTGACATTACGTAACGTCAATTGTCAGTTTCTGCTTTATTTTGCTCGATATAGTTTATAAAGTGTTGAAAACTTTTCATTAAGCTGGAAAATTATTACTCGCTCAAATCCGATTATAATTAACGTTAGAGAAAATGAAAAGTTTGTTTTTATTATTGAATTTGATATGTGACATTTTTTTTCAAGTGCTATCATATATTAAAGAAGAAAGTGATACAAATCATGAAATTGTGAAACAAAAAAAATCAATTGGGGCTCTTCTTCATCTTGAGTACAAATTTTGTGATTAACCAACATAGGTATATTGTGGAATTAAATTCAACACCATTGTTTTCTGAGTCATTGATATCACTTTCCCAATTCACTGGTTTTCTGAAATTACGCTTTTCATTTGTATAGTCGATTTGTATAACATTTTCAGGACTGTTTTTCTTTCTGAAGTCCCTGTCAGTTATGACAGGGACTTCGAATGATTGTAGTTATGTTGAATGCAAGTAAAAAAAAATATTATCTATTAAATTTTACCCTTATTTTTCGACAAGTTATGTCTAATTCCCAGTAACTTATTCATTATAGGTAGACTCATTAACTATTGGCATTGCAAAATGTATCTTAACATAACAATTGTATATTTTTTAAACAGTTCAATATTTACATGAATTTAAGAACAGAATTCCAACAGGATTCTTGAGTGCTTATTATTCCTCTTCTGCACTAGCAAGTGGATGGAATGGGCAGAAATGAAATAGAACATATAAACTATATTTTACTGATCCAAATCTGATATGGGTACTTACTGGGTCCTCAAATGCTGGATTTCCATAAGATCTTTTAGACTGGCGATCAGCTTTTCGTCTGAGGCTGTTGTATACGGAAAGGTTGTCTACACTGTAGTCATCCAAATTAATAGGTCTACATCGTTGCTTGTAATTGAATCGCTTTTGTCGTTTTCTCATGAGATACTGAAAGTTATGAGATTATGAAAATTATTTATTACATGTGTGGATGATCAAAGAAGGTTATATAACTCCGAAGTAAGCTTCGTCAAAATAGAAACATGCTTTGGTCATTAGAATTTAATTGGAGAGGGTTACAATGAACCAATAATAAATCAGATTGAGATGACGAATAGAGACAACCTCTGATCACGCAATTTAGCTGTGTTTGCTTTTGACTTGCTTCAGAAATCATTATTGTATAAGTGAAATATGATGAACTATAAGTTATTTTGTTCTCAGTTTATCGGTTCATTAATTGAAAAACGAAAAGAAACGGTGAGAAAATTCTTCATATCTGTTAACAGTTCCTTTCCATTTCTTGATAATGAGATATTAGTGCTGACATAAAAAAATTAATGATTTTGAAATTATAATGACAACTAATTGTGATTCTGGTGAGAAAACTAAACAAACTATCAGATAAGAGAACTATACAGAAGAGATCTCATTACAATTATTCACATAAAAATTATAGTAGGGAATTGCGATTGATTTATTTTATAGGCGAATATATTTCATCATACTGATTCAAAATAGTGCAAGAAACGAATCAACAATGTGTTCTTCATTACCTTTAATAAATAGAGTTTGAATATTACTGGATTTTTTGTCCCAACATCAAACCGTTATTCAAACTGTTCAAACAGTTTGACCTTCCTCTTGAAGATGATCACTTCCTGATCGAAACACGTGTCGAGGTGTTAAAATAACGGTTTGGCGTTGGGAAAAACTCCAGTAGTATTCATTACTACACCAAAGGTTCCAAACAGTGCATCACAAGATGATTTGAACATGAACTCACCAATAATCCAGCTAGTAGAACCAGACATAAAGCGCCAACAGTTGAGATAACAATAGCAGCTATTTTGCCGCTATTATCTTCAGAATTGTCTATCGTGGCATGTTCGGTCGATGCTGAAGTTTCTGTAATTTCTTCTTCAGTAGTAGTCTCAATAGTAGTCTGCTCGGAACTACCAGAGTCATTCATTGATCTTGAATTATTGCCATGAGGAACTGGATAGCTAAAATTAGGACTCAATGTTTCTGGCAACAGAGTGGTGTGATTATCTCTCGTTTCCACATGCACAAATTCAATCGTCGTTACTGTCGTGTCTAAAGTGGTAGTATCCTCTGACGAGTGACTCACGTTCATAATAAGGGGTACGAGTGTTGTGGGAGTTTCCGTTGTTGTAGTTACTAAATTTGGTGGAATAAAACTAGTTTTGATGATATCTGTCGAAGTGAACATTTCCGTAGTAGTATCGATAACTTCACTTGTGGATTCTGTGATAATGACCCCTTTAGAAATTCTCAAACTACTTGAGTTGATTTCAGTGTCATCAGTATTCGTGGTAACTATTTCTGCAAGAGTAGTTTGATCTTTCAAGTAGTTCGTTATCGGAGAAAGTGTGATTTGTTGTGTAGTTGAAATTACAGTTGTGTAGCCACTAGTACTGTCTAGGGCTTCATTTGTACTTTCCTTATGAGAAACGGTTATTTCTGATGATTGAGTGTCCAATGTTGTACTTGTCATTTCTTCAGTGGTTTCTGGATTGAAGGTAGTGGTTTCTTGATTGGAGATGGTGGTTTCCGGAGTGGAGGTAGTGGTTTCTTGATTAGAGATATTGGTTTCTGAAGTAGATGTAGCTTTTTCATCACTATCTATGGTTGTTTCTTCACTATCAGTAACTGAGATGTCAGTTTCGACAAGAGTCGTTGGTTCCTCTGTAGTTGTAGATAATTTGTCACTAGTGGTAGTGTATATCTCACTGCTGGTTGTTGATTTTTCACTCATAACCGTGGTGTCAATATTGGCGGTCGGCGTTATTTCAATCTTCTTTATGGTAGTGAACTCATCTTTCTGAGTGCTGTATTCCTCACTAGAACTTTCTTCAACACCGAGTGCGACTTCATTTCTACTGGTGACAGTTATAGATTTTGTGGGAATATTTTCAGTTGTTGTATCTTCTCGATTTGTTGTAATAGTATTACTTATTTTATTCTCTTCTGCTGTTTGTTTCTTCGGAACAAGGTCATTTTCATTCCTGTAACTCTTTGTTGAATTTTCGGAAAAAGGGTGTATGGCCTTAATTGTCTCTGATTCGATTTTATTGCTCAAGATGTAACTATTATTGTTCGTTGGTGGTTTTGTCAGAGTTGTGCTCTTTCCAGTTGTTTCGAAGGAAGTTTTTGGAGAAGAGGTTTCTGGTTGGAGTGTATCTTCTTTAAAATCGTATCTATATGTACTAGTTGAACTGTAAGTAGAGATAAAATTTATCTTTTTCATTCTTTCAATGAGGAGATCATCATGTTTGGAGTTTTTATCGATAGTATTATTCTTTGATACATTCATTTGCTCTTTGTAGTCCAGAGAAGTTGTTGGATCCCCGAATAACTGACGTAGATGCAAATCGCCTTCATTCTGATCATCCATATCTTCGAAATCCTCATGAATATTGTGATGATCGTTATCGTGATGAAAATCTTCGAAACCATTCGATTCGTATTCCTGTTCCAGTTTTTGCTTAGCTTCATTGAATTTTTTGTCGAAGAACTCTGTTTTTGGAGTTGACAGTTCAAAATTTTCGAAATCCACAAATTTTCGAGTTGAGGATTTCAAGTAGGACTCATCCAGATGCTTGTTATCGTCATAAATGATTGGAAGAGAATAGACGTTGTTTTGAAATTCTGAAGATACATATTTTTGGATATTTATAGACCTCGAATCATTCTCTCTATTCTTCTCGTTTGAATCCTGCTTGATGCTATTGTCTCTGTTTGCTTTATCCACCTCAATATTTGAATTACTTTGGCTCTTTGTGGTATGGTTTTCTTCTTGATCGATTATGTTTGAAATTGAATGGGAATTATCCAATTTCGAATCATGGTTTATACGTTTTTGAGTATCTTTGTTTGCAATGTTCAGTTCAGCATCAGTCTTTGGTAATTTTTCTATTAAGTTTATGTTAGTATCAACAGTATCTAGAGGAATATTTTGTTGGATTGTGTTGTTGCCGGTGATCCTACATATTTCAAGAATCAGGAACACTCCTGAAAAAAAAAATGAGTAAGCTTTAGAAATAACAAAATCAACCAAGCCATACTATTGGAAACCGTTCAGAAAAATAGCTCAATATCTGATCAATACTGAAGATTGCTAAGGAGGGTGGTGTGATGACTGCTACCTAGGACCTTTCGAATTATTTTTAATATATTATCTACATCATTATTATCTTTTTAATTATGTTATTTTCAAGTTTTTGGTTTCTAATTTTGTTACTCAATTATTCACATTCTGTTTAGTTCATTTAGTGTGTCAGTATTACAAGATAAAATGTAATCCGTCATTTTTAAATTGTGGCCATGTAGAATCTGCATCGTTTTCAAAGTCAAGCCCTGTCATTTGATACCCACATTGAGGTAGTTGAGATCGAAAAGTGTTCTAGCTAACTTTTTTTTGTTTAAAAAATCGTGAATGCATTATCTACATCATATCCAAGTACGTGGAAAGTAATCATATCTTCTCTTGTTTCCAGTTCGAATCTACTGATGAAGAAATTTATTGTGAATGAAGGCAGTGGATTAGCTTCAGCGTCATTTGATGTATTCTCTTTGTTTCCACGTGTTCCTATTTCGAAAACAGTTGAATATTTGCAATTTTTAAACAAAAAGTTCTTGTCAATACTTGAATTCTACTCTTGAAAAAGATTCTCGAATATTAAGTTAAACAGCAATGAGGATTTACATTTTCCTATGTCTTGTTCACCGCAGACAGAATTTCCACATTGAAAAAAATAGTATTCAATATTTTTCAATTCTGTTTGCAGAAATCGATTGCTCGGAGGACAGATAGCCTGAACACGCGGCGCGGCGCATACTCAATTGCGTAGACCAGAAAAATATAATGTCGCTCAAAGGGCTTTGAGGAAAGTTCATAGAATGAATGAAGATTTTTAAAATCACTTATACTGGTTGATGACACTAGGCTATTAGATGCCTTCGGAATACTGAAAATAGCAAAATGTGGCACGAGAACTGTGAAAAGTCACGAATTCCTACTTCAAAAAGCTCATTGTTTACTTTTTTATCATACACTGTTAAATATAAATAGGCAAAGTTAGGTACATAGGTATAGTAAATCTTCTGATGACGGAAACTTAGTTGGTGAAACAGTTGTTGAAACTGGTATTTCCGTTGTTGAAACTGGTATTTCCGTTGTTGAAACTGGTTTTTGTTAATGTATCGTCAACTGAAATACGAGTATTGTAACGAAACAGAAGCCGCCCCTGGCCAGTACGCCGGCCAAATCATGGAACAAACACATGACATCACCGCAAAAGAATGCAGTTAGGAATCGCCAGTAAAACTCTAATATCGAACCGACTACAGATTTCTAGAAAGGACCTTTAAGCACATCTTCCCGACCCAAGAGGGCAGTCCAGAAAGTGAATCGAGCGGCTAAACAAGAAATTCAAATAGTGGATATGAATTAAACGTTAGTTGCTAAAGGTTGTAATAAATAAATTAGTTTGTGATTAGTGAAATATTGTTGAAAATGAATTTGTTTAAGACAGTTAATTTATTGATTTGTCACAATTGGTGTCAGAAGTGGAATTTGTAAAATAAATCTGTCAGCGCTTGGCAATCTTTGTATTGTGATTCGTTGTGTTTCATGAGTGGACAGTACGGAACTACGGAAATATGAACTGATAGACCTTTCTCGCGAAAAATAGACTTGTGAAAGTAAATAAGTGTTTTTGGACTCGATTAAAATAAGTTGACATATACAGTTTTGTGGAAAATAGACAGTAAGAGACAAAATGTGTTCGAGGAAAGTGCGCCTAGCGGACTTGAAATTCGCCGAATTGAAGCAATAATTGGAGGAGAGGGAGATTGTTCTGGAAAGAAATCAGTACTCCAGAAGGGACTGTGGAATAACTTGACTGAATCAGAAGGAGATCCCGAAGCATATTTATTCGAAGTTTCTGGGGATGATTTGGGTTCAATAATGAGCAAACTCGATGAGACTACCAAATCGCTGAAAGATAAACTTCTAGAAAATGCGGAAGGCTTGAAGAAACAACTTTGTTGCCTGGCGAATCTACTCGAAGAAACGATAGGGACCGTCGAAACAGAGATATACAAAATCAAGAAGGAAATTAATACGGAAGTAGAGGAAATCAAAGGGGAGATCAAAGATGAAATGAAGAGAATGAGAAAAAAAAGGCGATGCAATCAAAGGCGGAGTTTGAGCAGAAATCACCAAGATGAAGGAAACAATTAGTAAGTTGAGTAGTTGTTGTAAACAACTACTAAGTTGCAATACTAAATCGTTAATTCTGCCCACACCACAGAAAATGTTACCAAAAACTCAATTCCGGAACTTAGTTTTAACATGGAAGAACTTCAAAAGGCAAGGAAAGATGTCAAAGTCAGTTCTGAGTCAGGAAACCTCTCCATGAAGCCGCCCCAGTTTGACGGAAAAACTCCTTGGGAAAATTACCGCCGACAATTCGAAGCTGCGGGTAGAATGCAAGAGAAAAGACGATAGCATTTACAATGGCGTTGCGTGGAAAAGCAAAGAATATTTTGCAAATCCTCACGGCTCAAGAACAGGAAGACTATAACCAACTTATAAAGCATCTTGAGCTACGGTATGGGCAGGCCCACCTAGAGCGCGTTTTCCATTCACAGTTGAAGAACCACTGCCAGAGATCAGGAGAATCTCTTCAGGAATTTGAAGCCGTCATTGCTCGATTGATTCGTCTGGCATATCCTGATAAACCGGAAAATGTAATGGAGCGGTTAGCAGTTCAGGCATTCTTGGACGGACTTCGCGACCAAGAAACGAAGCAGGCATTGACACTAGCTCGTCACAAACATCTCGTAGATGCACTGACAAGCGCTCTGGAGTTTGAGGCTGCAAAAACAATCCTGCAAGAACCAGAGCAAAGCTCGAACTATCGAGAAAGATGGACAGGTGCTTGCTGATATTGAGGCCACCATTAGAAAGGTAATAAAAGTGTTGCTCGAGAGAAAAAAAATAAGATGCTGGAACTGTAGGAAAATTGAGCATGTGCGTAGCAAATGTCCAAGCATTCAAAGAACCAACACCAAATAAGGAAAACTAGAGAGGTTCGATGAGAAAGGGCAATCGTCAACCTGTACTCAGCAAGCCCCCGTAAAAATCGCAGATGCCCTGTCCCGATGACTGCTCACATTGCCGATGAGCAGAAGAGAAGGAAGCAGATATTTGTAGAACTACAGCTGTAGACGACAACTGGGAGGACAATAAGATCAAGGAAGACCAAGAGAAAGACCCAGATATTGGCTTAGTCATCGCATGGAGGAAAATTAATCAAAGACCATAGTGGCAGGAGGTGGCAAGTTATTCGCCAGCGGTTGAGTCCTACTGGACTCAAAGGAACTCCCTTACCTTGGAAAACGGGGTTCTGAAGCGGGAGTTGGAGTCTGAAGACGATGGAGAAGAAAGGCCTGTTTGTATAAATAAAATCAACTAGTGGTAATTAGATAAAAGTGTTTTCATTCCTTTCATTAAAGTGATTATGAATTACCACAAAATGAACAAGTCACCAATCACACATATTCAAAATCAATTTCTCGGTTATTATTGTGTTTCAACGTTGCTGTATCCATGCTGAATATGCAATGGTAGGCGAATATTTATTTAATGTGAAAAAAAATAGGAATACACCGCCTTGAATATATCAAAATTTTATATTAGAATGTTACCGTATCTCCCCTCACTATTCGGTTTGGAATGAGAACAAACTCGACATTACTTTCTTGAAAATTCATGTATTGAAAGAACAACTACTATGCCCAAATGAAGAAAGCATTCAGAAAATATAGCATTCGAAAACCACAATATACAAATCCATATTAAAAATTAATGAATAACGTTATTTAATTTGATACATACCCAGAATTAACTGAAGCGTGACGCCCATAATGTGAGCATTGTTGCTGGATTACTGGATCGTCTGTAATAAAAACATAAATATTATCTCCTTATTCAGTGAGATAAAAGCACAAAAATATAACTGAAGATAAAAATTATTTATTGGATTGCAATATTTTTACAAGGGGAAAAGTATACAATTGCAAGTTGGGGTCTGAAAGGTTATAACAGCGAATTCTTTCGGTAAAACTAAGGCACAACCTCTGTCTTATTTGTGTTCTATTCGTTGCTCCGCCAGAGAGCGAAATTGTTCAATTCGAAAACGAGTGCAGTTTTTATACACTCAGCCCAATATTTTTCGTATCAGCTCTATGAGGCTGTGCGATTTCCGTGCAATTTGTATGTAAACAAGAAGAGTGTAAGATAATGGCAGAGTAGCAGAGTTGGATATTGCGAAAGCAGCATATTGACCTTATTAATGGAATGAATAATATCATTTAGATAATATATTTGAATGAATACCATCATTATCTGAAGAAACAGTGTATTTGAAATATAAAATTCAATTGGTAATTGAAAATGTTCAAAACCCAACTCACTTGTTAACCTAACCAAATGGTACGCAAATCGGTATGAAATTGTTAATTCAGTTTTAGATATGAAGGTATACAGGGCTTTTCATGATGAGCGTTAATTCCATTTCCGTTTGAAACAGTTTATCTCGAAAACGGTTCAAAATAGAAGTAGTATTATCTGAACAAAGTTAATCTAAAATTGGATGTAGATCTCAAAAATGTTGAAATATACAGGGTGTTCCATTTGAAAAAATTGAGTTCCACATGAAAAGCCCTGTATAGAATGCTCTAACTTTGAAAGGATTTTTTTGTGGGGGACTCAATATTTCTTACTGTTTTTTGGCTATATAACTCTCCGATATGATGTAAGAACAACTTTCAGAACTATCAAACTTTTGACATAAACTAAACCAGAAAATACGGTGGAAAAAATTAAACAGTGCACTAACAATAAGATGTGAGAAAAAATAAACATCGTAAAGATATAAGAAGAAGAAGAAGATAACAGAATCGGGCATAGCGAAGCATATTCTTAAATCATCCGGTGATCACGCTATAAAAATGGAGTGAAACAAAAATTATCATCAGAAAAAATTAGGAAACTCAAAGAATGAACGAACACCTCCCAATGTCTCATCGATGCTAGCACCTAGTACAATAGTAGACTTGTACAATATCGACAATACACTAAATTTTATGAAATAATTTTAATAATGAAATTAATTAAGTGAAATTTCATATGTGAAAAGACAATATATACAACCACAATAATTGTTCTAGAAATGCTTAGATATGTTATACAGAGAACATTAAGAAACTCATACCATTCTATTCTATCGCCACTCTTGGTGGAGAATGTTAATATTTTTTCATACATCCGTAAATGAAGTGAGAAAAAAATACATATTTTCAGAACAGGAAAATATTCAGTAAGAATCATAAAAAAAGTTTTTGTTTCTAGATGCAAATTAACAAGTAAAACACTGTGGATATATTTGAAATTCTATCAATCGTGTTTCATCAAGCTTTATTTTTGTGTTTCAATTTCCTGACAATCTTGAAAACAAACAGATGTTGACAAATGGATTTTATACAGACTTTTCAAAAACTTACTGTGCATTTAAAGTCGTTGTATAAAGAACCGAAATACCACTTGATCAAAGTAAGTAAAGACCCCATTTATTTTTGAAAAAAAAGTCGATAGCCCCCTCTGTGTGGCGAGTGATGTCACACCGTTGCCTTTTTTTATCAAAAAGTATCTACTACAAAATACATATTTTGTCCGACCCAATTCAATAGGAAGGTGTCCTTACACAATGAAAATTCGTACTTTTCCGTTTTGGAAATTTTTGTATTGCCGTAATCCTTCTTTTTCTATTTTCTGTTTGATTGTTTTCACTGATGATGGTGGTTATTTCAAATGAAACGCTATAAAAATATCAAATGTGATATACCCTTGGATTGTGAATTTATTGCTTTATCAATATCTGCAATAAAAAAGGCAGACCCGTATTCAAAAAAAAAGTTGATGGTAGCCATGTCGACACGAAACGTTTTATCGAATATATATTATTACATCGTCATGAATACAATAATATTTTCCTTTTCCAGTTTTTGATATTTGGTTAGGTTAGGTCATATAATGATCATATGATAAAACCATAATAATATGACAGATATTTTGCAAATACAATGCTAATCAGGTCGAGAACATTGTTTTACAATATAAATATCTGCAATTTTCAATGGATAAAAACTGAATTGTTTCAAATCCTACCCTCTATTGCAAAACGTGATATTGATATTTCAAATTGACAATTGTAAAATACTGAATTGAAATAGCAACTCTGTACTAAATTTTATGGTATCTGGCGAAACAAAGATGGTGCAGTACTCACGTGTTTTACCACTGTAGCTACAAAATGTTTCAATGAGAATTAATTATAAACGTTTCTGCTTCGACAAGAAGTTGAGGTGAGGCTTCATTGTTATTCTATGTAATTCAACATGAAATGTTATTTACGAACAGCAATTTCCTACTGAATAGTATTATTCGACGTGGACTATAGTGGTTTTGCTCGAAACAGACAATATTAAATTACGTTTCTTGCGGAATCAGTTTCACAAAATGAACTGATTTAATCTGAAACCGAATAAAATTAATGTAGAACATTGACCAATATTTTGGAATAGATCAGTTATTCATTATGTTTCCTATTATTAAGCTAAATATTGAAAGTTATGTATCAGTTTAGAGCTACAGGGTGTTGAAGTTTTTGGTGGAAAGTAGTACGCATCTTTATATAAACATCAAATGAAATATTCTGCTTATGCATAAAATATTTTTTTATTCTTGTCAGTGGAACTAGTACGTCATTTGCCCTAAAACGTTTTGAAATTAAAAGCCAACCTTTTTTATGTAGTGTAAATAATTTTTGAAATCCTCATGAAAATTGCAATATAAAAAGTATTTTGGTATAACAATTTGGATACAATTCTTTACTCAACTTCAGAGAAAATTTTTAGCAAAAGTTTGAAGGAAATATACAGGATACCAGTATCTTTCAGAAACTCCAAACTCTAAGTTTTTATTTTTTCAGTATATATCAATGACCTCGTCAAAACGTTCCTCCAAAAATTGAATGATTCACTTCATTAATAAGAAGACATAAGCTGAGTGGATGATCCTCATCAACAGTGTTAGTAAGACTGGTTTTTACAGAGCGAAGTCTGTCCAAATGCCTGTATTATGAAACGCAAGTGTTGGAGGTATAGTTTTGACAGTACATGAGAAGCATTCTTCTTACTGTTTGACAGAATGTATTGTTTCTGGAAGATAATACAGTTTTTTTTTCATCGAATAGTCTTTATTGGTCTAAAAAACATGTCATGATGTCCTCTGATTCCAAGTTGTGGATTTGACAGAAATGAACTATCAATGAGTTTCTAAGATCCGTGATTCCTGTTACAGTTGCTAGTTTTCGTTACGAGTTTCATTCCATTTCAATTGTCGCACCTTGACTAACGTCTGGGACATTTGCAAAACCAATATGGTTACCTTGATGATGCAAATTTTGTCAGCGAAACATGCGTCAAGGAGCAGTTCGGTATGGAAAAGTGCCTATCATTCTGGAAGACTGAGATGACTTTTTTATTCTACTAACAGCTTTCAGAATTCCGTCGACACTATTGGGTTCATTATCTAGGGTCAGTCCATATGATGCGTGGAAATAAACAACGCCACATTATTTTTTCTGTACATTAATGGTCAAACGTTGTTGATCACCCATGGAAACCTAAATCAATTAATGTTATCATTTNTCATGGATTCACGAGAGACACTCATCAAATTTCAGTTTCTTGATTAACTTATCTAGGTACTATGTTTGCTGCATTCCTGTTACTTGCAGCTATTTTCTTGATAACCTTTTCTCGATTTCATATCTTGCATTGCTCGAGGGGAAAATGAACAGTCTATGGCCTAGAAAATTTAGTCCCGCAACTTGTTGTGGACAGTGGTGGAAGCTCTCAGGAATATAACTGGTGTCCGAAAAGTCTTAGTACGGCCACCGTATAGAAGTAAACACAAGTAAGTTCACTCTCCGCCATATTTGGCTCCCACAAAGGAAAATAATTGTTGAACCACATCAAGTTTTAATTTGTATCTGTAGGAAATCAATTATTCCCACTGAAATCTTTACAAAACCAAAGTATCAAATGTATATTCAAATAACCATTTTTGGAGCCTACTTTCCATTCATATGTTCCAGATAATCTACTATAAATAGAAAATATGCCTTAGAATTTCATTAGATTGACACACTTCATAATTAGCAAACTAGGCAACCCAAAACTAAGAAATCTGTATTTTATACTGAAGTTTTGATTTACAACAACCAACAAAAAAATATAAAAAAATATTTTAGAAAAATGATCCAAAACAAAATGAAATAAACGTTTGCTGAACTACCTTTTTTTATCTCTCATCAAATTTTGCTTCAATGTATTTAGTACCTATATTCATTTGTATTTTTCAATTGATCAAGATCCTTACTATAAACACTAAATGTTTCTTGGGGTCAATAAAGATTATTGTTATTTATATTTATATATTCTCTAGATGCATGCAGTGGAAGAAATTCGTGGAGTTTGTTGGTGATGTTCCTCCGGAAAAATGTCAAAAAAACATGAGATTGTGTCCTCTTCACTTCGATGAGAAATATTTTACATCAACCAGAAAAAACCGCCTAAATAAAGATGCAATCCCCACAACTCGTTCAGGTGAAAGGTAAATGGAACAACAATAACGACCTTGGAAATTCCTCCAATTCAGTCACAGGAGATTATAATTCAATTATTATATGTGAAAATCTCCCCAAATGTGAACAATTTTTGGGCTACCTGCCGTAATTGCTAATGACTATTGAGATCTATCAGGTCAAAGAATTTTCGAGAGCCACATTTACCTTTATGGAAGTATTCTAGGGAAAAGTATTCATACTGAAGT